TGAGCATCTAAATATTCTTAAAATCTTTAGACTTTTCAACCATGTATTTATTATTAAAGATGACACCCTCAAAGTTTTTCTTTGCTCTATTCTTATACTCCTTTACCCAGTCCAACTTCTTGATAGTATGTTCATTCTTCAGGAATACTCTTTTCTCCACTTTGACCTCTTTATATTGACTAAAGTTAATACCTACTTGATTGTCTTAACAGAGGCATAGGATGCAACATCATTGCACAATTCTGATAAGGGCTAGTAGTATACCTTTTTAGACTCTCTAACTAGGTAGCAACAGGTTCTGATATCAATAATTTTAGGTCTTTCAGTAAATGGGCAGTTTTTTCTATTACATATCATTTGAAACACATTATAAAAACTTTGAACTGTACTCTTGAGGGGATGAAAGAGCTCTCCAATCTCAGAGAAAGCAATATTTTACTTCCTTAGAGCAAAAATTTGCCTTCTCTCAAACTCTGAAAGGTAGCCTGTCTTTTTGAGAGGCATGGTTGTTGAGGAGTGGTTGATTAAGGAGGTGGGGTTTTTGAGGTGTTGCTTGGTAACCACCAATCGGACGATCCCTTTTTGTCCTAGTACTTTAGTAATTGGAAATTATTTCTGATAACCCTGATGTCATTGACTTCGACCCTTGTGCTTGCACGGGTTCGGTCTCTACGAGTACTCGTACTCTTCGCTCCTGTTTGCTTCTTTCTCTCTCGCTCCATTTGTTTTGTTTTTTTCAACCATCATTCTGTACAGTAATATGCTAATATAATACTCCATTCTCTTCAGCAGAGTGCAGGTAATGCCGTAGTCTGTGCTTCTCTGCCCGCTCGTGAACAGAACTGAGGTCCTCCGATCCCCAACGCATTACTTTCCTTCCTTTTTTCCACAATCGCAATCTAAGCATCGTGATGATTTCCATTTTGCCCCCATCACCATCACCATCATCATACTCCTAGAGCACCCTTCCCTTTCCTTCCACCTCCTTACATCGGTCCTTTCTTTCCTTTTTCCTGGCTACCCCGGCTCTACCATCGTCATCGTCATGCAGTACTCACCTCGCTTACTCCGAAACCTGAGAGAGGAAAGAAGGAACATCGTAACAAAGAGGTTAAAAAAGGAAGAGTCCGTTTTTTACTTTTTTAAATTTTTTTAGTGCAGGAGAAACTGCACCTCCTCCTTCCCCCTTTCCCACATCACGCGACAATCTCACGATAGTTTTACCCCAGCCAGCAGGCACTGTAGTGAGTTCTTCGCCGGCAAGCCATGATATGCAGCTCTGGGCAACTCGTACACGCACACTTGGGCAATCATCGGTGGGCACCCCTCTTCCTCCTATCATACCCCCCCAGTCGCTTTGAGCCTATTGCGTTGAACTTGGGCGCTTCCATTTTCTGCCTTGAATGTGAATTTTTATGCTTTACCAAACATAGGTCACGGCAGGGGGGAACAGGAAAGCAGAGACGGAGATATTGGTAGAGGGATAGGGTGAGAAATGGAAGAAGTGAGACAAGCTCCCCCGGCTCGATAGAGATCTTCCTCCCTTCCTTTGTCCTAGTTCGTTCGTTCGTTTCAAGTGGGGTAAGTTGCAGAAAGGGGAGGGAGGACGCAGACATGAACAAAGAAGAAGGAAGGAAAAAAGAAAAGAAGAAAAAAAAAGGCAGGAAGGCAGATACAGGCAGAAGAATCGATCCGGTAATCGTAATGCGGCAGCGGTGGAAGCGGCTAGTGGGTAGTACCGGTATCGTGGCTGTTCACCGCATCTCCCTAGCTTGCCAAAGTCTCGCCTCTCTACCCGTTAAGCTTCCCCTGTCCAACCGTTGGCGGTGAGAAGGGTGTGAGATGAGAGGGGAGGCAAAGACGGGGGGAGAGAGGGGTGGGAACGATTGGAGGGGAAGTGCCGGGTTGGAAGAGCAAGGCGCCGGGAAACACCTTACCGCCCGGCATGAAGGGCCCTTTGACCCTGTGAGGATAGGAGGGTAGGGATGGGAAGTTCACGATGACATTAGCAAAGGAAAATATGTTGTTTAGGAGCTCTTTGCCGAACAACTACGTCAGTATCCGTACTATCGTTGATTAGCGGCAGGCGTTAGCTGAACTCGTACTAGTGCAGGGGGGGACAGAGCCTCAGGAACGTGTCAACCGCCCAATATCCAGATGTCCCCCGTGATGCCAATAGGTTATAGACCGACGGATAACCCAGAAAACTCCTGTAACCCACTCATCCAAACCTAAAGTGACCGTAAGGTGACAAGTTGCGGCAGAGCGGGCCTCACCCGTGCTCTACCCGTACCGTGCACTCGCCTGAAGAACCCATATCCCGGACAAAAGGGAAATTGAGAGACAGCGGGGGCGGAATTACTCTAGCTCTATCTTCATCTCCACAAGGGTTGCTGGTTGCCCTACGGTACTCGAATACGATGAGTTGATTGGTCACTCAAACAACAGGGACTACAGGTATTGGTGCTACTCCCCTTCGGCTACGCAAGTCTTTTCGGGATTGCCATGGCATCCTGATAACAGATACCTCGAACCTCCCTGCTCGTCAGATGCCCACGAGAACGCGAGATTCTGGCGTATTTCCACGATTTCAGGGCCCCTCCTACGCCTGAACCGGGTTGATGGGAGGCTGTGGTACCGGTACTTGAGCACAGCGCAAGGACTGCATTATAAAAAGAAAGAAGAAAAAAAAGGGCATTGCTCGAGTAGGAATGCCGGCGAGAATGGAAGATTGTTTTAAAAAAAGAAAGGGAGAAGGCAAGCAACAGCGGGAACGGCCGTCTCTTCAAGGGTTGAGGTGTGAGGGCGTCCAAGCGTTCACTGACGACCCCACTATCAGTATCCATCTTCCTTCGATACGGTACTCCGTGAAGCCGCCTGAAACGGATCCTCCTGTTGCATCGATTTGCTTAATAATACCTACAAAGATTACCGTACCCGCATCGTGGTGCTCCAACATAAATCTGCACGATGATAATTATTATTAAATTTACGTATGATATATTACCCTGCCCCAGAAGATGCCCACCGTACCCGTCTCAACCAATGCTTGCTCAATAAAAACGTTGGAGTCCAGGGAATTGAATGGGAGAATGCTTTCGAGTATGATAGTTCTATGGGAGTTTGTCCCTCAAAGACCTTTGATGTTTCTTCCCATGGAGTGCTCGTCGGTTGGCTTTTTTCCCTTTTCTATTCTTTTCCGCTCCTGGAAGGGTTCCATCCTACCGGTATAACATCGTGGTGGTTCCGGTATCATATCCATCCATCTATAGTGATGATACCCATCGTACCAACCTTGCCACACCTCCACCATCACTTTCCCACCCCCATCATACTTTTCCGTTCTAACCATATTGCTCTCCCTCCTGTGGCTTTCTCTCTCCCTCCCATCGGGTGTCCAAAGTGGATATCTTTTAACCCCCCAATTGGTACATTCACCAGGAAGGAGGAAAAACATTGTAAGAGATCAGGGATCATCAGAGTAATAGACCATTCTGATAATTGGTATCTAATAGCAAAACCCGGTAACGGTTATGATACGCAACAGTAATACCGGTGCCGTACGATACCACGTCCATCATTCCTGGTAAGGAGCAAGTGTGGGTACTATACCATGTAGATGGCCGGAGGTTTAGACCACGGCTGATTGCTTGCATGGCTTTGGTGACGCGGCCAATAGGTCTCCGGCTTGCATATACAGACCTCCTCCTTCTATGATACGATAGCGATTAACAGGGAGGAACGCTCTCTTCAACACCCAACCGCAGGTGTCGCTGACAGCCCTGTACCGCACTGTGCCGGTACTCCCAATCAATTAATTACTGGCAGTGGGCTACGGTATCATACCATCATAGTAACAACAACCCTAATAATCCATAACATCACTTTCAGCTTCCAAATCACTCGAATCCATCCTTCCAATCCCTACTCACTAGATTCTATAAGGTATGATAGGATACTGGACGGAGTTTGAAAGAATCAGTCAATATATCCTCATCCATAAGCTTTAAGCAATGGCAAAAACTATGATACTCCAGTTATCATATCCTACTGCGATTGTCAAAGACTGCCATTTCGTGCCCGCTGAGCATTCATTCATAAACCGAGCGCCACATTCCTGGCAAGGCAGATCTATCGGATACGGTATGTAAGAGAAGATCCCACGGGGCAGGTGGGCCGGGGGAGAATGAGGAACATATGATATGTGCTCCGAGTGCGAACGGAGCAGAAAAATTGGTCAGATCGTCATGTATAGTATTTAACGAGCACCCGGCCTTGGATGGTGTACTGCGGAAGATTAACTCGACAGGATGGGCATCGCCCTGGAAAAGTTCCATCACCCGTCACGATTGTGGTTTTCACAGGGGTTGAGGATTCCGGACGGCGGTCGAAGCCCGTCTTCCCGTTCCTTTTTATCATAGCTCGCCGCTGGGATTTCTTGGGGGATTGGGGGCTTGCGCGGGTGCCGTACTGCTGTACCCCATTACGGGTTACTGGATGGCGTTATCCACCCGCCGTTTGACTTTTAATATGTTCAGTGCTTTGGTTTTTGATGTCATGATCTGGCGGGTTTATACCGAAATTGTTTCCTCAGAGGATTTTTTTATTTTTATTTTTAAGAAAAAAACGACAACCCCCATTCGAGTGTCTAGCCGTTGTTCCATTTTGGCTGCTCATTGGGGTGGACCTCGTTATGGGAATTCCGGCACCGACATATCATACCACCCGGTGGTCTACTGAACGACTGTGCTCCCGTGCTCCCGTGCGGCCCGCTGGGGGACATGTTTGACCCTCGGCGTTCGCTTGCCGTTTATGCCCAGCTTGCAACCGGGTAACCCCTCCTGCCGCTAAGCCGCTGCAACGCTAGGGCTATGATACAACTTCTCTCCATAAACAAAAACCATCTCTCCCCACCACAACGCCATCCGCTGTCAAAATTCCGCGCCTTCCCCCACAGCCATTTCTATCCACCCCCATTACTAATATCCACAAAATAAACCATGGTAAAATTAAAACTCAACACCGCGCTATCGAACCTGGCGGCGGCGGCGGCATCCGACAAGAAGAACAACAAAGTCTCATCCCCGAAAGTAGCCGCACCAAAGATCAAGCTCAAGACGAAACCCACCGGCGGGCCGACGCTCAAGCTCCGAACGCCATCAATGTCACAGCCGCCTTCCGCAGCAGCCCCCGGCGCGCTCAACTCCCCGGCACCAATCAAGACCCCCGTGGTGAAATTCAAGACCAAGGCGACGCACAACGCCCACAAACAGCGACGGCGCGAACCTGGCAACGGGTATGATTCTGAGGCGTCGGATAGGGAAGAAGATCCCGCGATTGAGGAGCAGTTTATCCTGCGTATGCAGCCTGGTGAGGACTGCGAGTACCTTCGCGAAGCGATTGAGAAGAAGGAGTTGAACGTGACGACGGATGTGTGGATGAAATTCAAGGACTCACGCAGGGCAGTGGTAGGCGTCCGTGGGAATTTGTATGGTGCTCTGCTAGTAGACCTGCCATGCATTATCGAGTCGAACAAGACCTTGGATAAGAAGGCAATCTTCAAAACGGCGGACATATCGCAAATGCTGGTCGTCGGCGACCGGATCGAGAAGGAGGAGGAAGTGCTCACCATCCCCGCCCGTCCCCAGGACCTGACATACCCGCACGGAGTTACCCCGCCAATGCACTACGCCCGCAAACGCCGCTTCAGGAAACGCATATCAAACCGCACCATCGAAGCGGTGGAAGCCGAGGTCGAACGTCTCCTAGCTGAGGACGCCAAGGCCGAAAGCTCAAAGTTCAGTCTGGTGGACGCAGTGGAGCTCGAGCGCGAGGAAATCAACGTAATGTCGGACGTAGATCCAAATGACGGCTCATACGACCTCCTGGGCGACCAGGAATACGACTACGACCAGGATGCCGAAGGCGAGATAGACGAGGACTACGCCGGAGCTGCAGGAGCGGGAGGAGCGGGAGGAGCGGGAGATGACGTGGACGTGGACGGAGATACTCTGGCCAACGACCTCGAATCCGCCCTCATGGACGAGGGCCCCGAAGCCGACGACAACAACAACACCGGCGGCAACGCCCTCCACCCCGCCGGCCAAAACGGTACCGCCGCCGCCACCCCCGCTGACGAGGAAACCGATGACGACGATGACGACGACGAAGAGGAGGAAGCGGGCGATCTGGACGAGGACGCGACCGAGGCTGCCCAAGTGAGGGAGAAAGTTAAGGGGGAAATCCACGACCTCCAAGCCGCTATCCGTGCCAAACAGAAGGAGTTGTCCAAAATTACCAACAGCCTCCTACGCGGCAGGGTGGAACTTGTCATCGCGAGCTTACAGCGCGAGCTGGAGATGAAGATGTCGCAGGCAATGGGCAGGCAGCAGTAACAATCAACCAATCAGGTCTCACCCACAGTAAGAAAGAAAAGATACGTTATCCACTTGAGTTAATTAATTACTGTATTTGTACCTGGGGGGTCTATTCTTTTATTATTATTATTATTATTATTATTATTATTAGCCCTTCCACCCCTTCCCCCAAATCGCCCCGAATATCTTCCTCTACCCGTTTGCTTGCTTACCGGTTTGTTTCAATTATGTATGATAGCACCATCTTGTGCCTTCCTTCTTTCTTTTACCCTCTTCCTCCCCCCCCCTCCCATTTCCCATTCCTTTTTGGTACCTGCTACAGTACTCTTGACAAACGTATCGTATTCAGTAACCTCATTTCTTCCATTTCTTTCGTCCTCACTACGGCCGGGCGGACAGGCGGACGGGCTTTTGCCATCGCTCATTCTTGGGTTTCAACTTACATACATGCATGGCGGCGTTTGTTTCTTATACATATGTCACAAATCAAATCGGCCTTTCTTGTTGGGTTCTTATCGAGGTGTTTTGGCGCTTGAGCGCGTGAGGGACAAGAGTAGGTGGATAATAGACACAGTAACTGGGGGAGCAGGTACAAGCAAAGAAATCCTCCATCTCCAGATTCGGTGTGAACCTCCCACCGCATGCCACGAATTCCGTTCTGTGGCCAGGTCGTTTGTATACATAAGATGATACGTGCGAGCGCTCGCCCCCCCCCCCCCCCAGCTGGCCGGAAAGGAAGAAAGAGAGAAAGAAAACAAACCATAGTGGTATGCATTACAAGACGATTGATATGAAAATATGGCGCAGATAATAGCAATATCGACGACGTAACAGTCGCGATAGTGGGGTAGTGAGGAAAGAAATACAAGTTATACAAAGGTCAAGAAATATACATCCCGAAACGCTCACCGGAAATCGATAAGATAAAAAAAAAACAGAATACAAGTTATTGTCCTTAGCCAGTTCAAACCAAACTACCATTTCAGAAAACGCCAGATCTAAGTCCAACAAACCAGCCAATTAAACCCACCGAGGCCCACCCAATCCGGAATGTTCTGGCCAAATCCGAAAAGAGGAAGAAAAAGAAGGAAAAGGAAAAAGAGAAAGAGGGTGCTGCAATCCCTTCGTAAATGGGCGAAAGCAGAGGAGCCCAACATAAGGTAGCCCAGGGTGCATCTTCAACCCGAAGAAAAGATCGAATATAAGGGCAAATAAATGAATTAAAAAATCCCCGCTCATATCATTAAGCCATCACCAATGCCCCCGTCACCGCCAGCTTCGAGATCTTTCAGAATCTCGGGAAGGAGCTTTTCAACGTCTTCAGGGAGCAGCGAACAGCTCAAAGCGATGAGTCTCCTATAGTCACTCATCCTCTCACCGGCACCGCTCCTTGCATACGCTTTGACAATTGTATCCCTTAGCTCTATCCTCTCTTGCTGAAGTTGACCAAGTTCCTTAGCAGCCTCAAACTTTTCTAGCCAGCCTTCGGGGTTGTCTTCACTCAAGACTTCCTTCTCTTGAGGAGGCAGTTGCCCTACCTCCTCTCGAATGAGGCCGGAGAGGTCGTGATACTGCCCACATTCGAAAACCTCTCTCAACTGCTCCGCCAGCGCATCTGCCTCTTCCCTGAGAGCTTCAATCTGGGCCTCCATAGTTGCGATATCACCGAAAGGCGCCAGTGTCTCTTCAGACGTAGCCTTACATGTTTGTATTTCATGAGTGGAGCTGTCCAACAACCGCTGAGCCTGGCTGTGATCCTCCTCCTTGTCATTCAGCTCTTTATCAAAAGCAGTCGCAAGCCCTTCCAACATTTCAGCCATTAGGGGTATGACTTTCTGGGTTGCTGCGATAGCTGCTTCTGAGATATGTGGCTGGGGGATATAGCTATTGTTTGCATAATTGACAGCTGCCACTGTCGCGACTGATTGCGTCGAAGGATGCCTGTGGAAACGGCTATTGTGGATATGGGGAGGATGGTGCTCGTGTGATTGAAATGGGGAAGAACTCGATGCTGGTGGGTAGTCTCCATTTCGTCTTTGCCTTTCTACCGCAACGATATATTGATCTGCCGTTTGTCCCTCATTGTTCGGAATATTGGGATTGGCATTATGAGCGAGTAAACTCCTCACACACTTCTTTGCACCATTCCGCGCCGCAATTGTCAGGGCGGTATCACCCAGAGAGTCCCTAAGGTCCAGAACCACAGCGATATCAGGCATGGACTTCTTCTCCCCTAGCTTTTGGAGAAGTACGTCGAAATAGTATCTTGCCGCCAACAGTTTATTTCTCGAGGATGTTGTTGCTGCAATATGGTGAAACACTGTCGAATCGTAGTTGTCAACATGAAATATCGTATCCCGGAGTTTCTCGACCAGTCTCGGAAACGACTTTCTGTCGTAATTGTTGGTAAATAACACGGCCCGCATGAGAGGAGTTTCACCACGCTTGTTGACCATGAAGATGTTTGCCTCGGCCTGATACAACAACTCGATAACCCTCAGATCGCCCATTGATGCTGCCCAGTGGAACGCTGTATGTCCTTCATCATCAATGACCTCGTTCACATCAAAGTCCGAGGGCGGGTTGACAAGGAATTCCGGAAGTCCCTTTTCATTGGCCATGAAATAGTCCAGCAGCTCATCACTATAGGCAACCTTTCTTTGTTCCGAAGATGGCAGCATGAACGTCCCCAATATGTCCTCATTATCCATTTGCTCACGTTTCCTTTTCAAAGTGGCCGATACCGAATTCTGAGAGCGTCGATCGTCAATTTCAAGTTCAGAGAGCGCCCCGTCCGATGCAGATGAGGATTGTACCGATGGAGAACTGGGGTCATTGAGAGGATCTAAATCGCTTAAATCATCATCTTCACCCTCAACACCAACTTCGTCTAAGCTATCGATCGAGGGCGGCGCTTGTACGGGTGGTGTCGGTTCTGAAAAAAGTGATTAAGCTTTCCATCTTTACAAGAGCAAAGGGAAATAGAATTCGTAACCTACTAACAACCCGTTTAATCAGTGGAGCTGCACGTGGCTGCGCTCGTGAAGGCCTTGGTTTTGTAGATGCAGCCGTTACATGCTTGGGAGCAAGTGGAGGTGACTCAGTTGAAGGACGGAAATCAAAGATCGGTTTAAGCAACTCTTCAACGTTGTAAAGCGCAGCGATTTCCCTCGCTCGCTCAAGCGGTACCCAAGTACCTAGCAAACACCAGGTCAGCAAGAACCTAACAAATCAAAGAGACAGGTGTTATGCGACTCGAAGTCCACAACCCGCACTCGTTCCCACCTTGGTATTTCCCATAACCACCCTGGACCTTCTCATGAAGCCCTCTCTGGACCTCTCGCTCGAGAATTCGAGTTCTCTGCGGTTTGTCGAACTCAGCTACCTATGAGTAAACCCTGAGGTCAATTCCTGTCGACCCTATCAAGACCAATGCTACCACAAACCTTCAAGACCTGTGTAGCGTTAACCCACGAGTCCGATCGTCTTCGCATACATGCAATATTCCTTGCAATACTTCACTCCGCATCAGTGCCTAGGTTAATCTGGGGCAAGGGGTTGTGTGTGAACATACTATTCATATCTGCCAGCGAATCCAGGGATTAGTTTCAAGAAAAAAAATCACGGAAAACCGAAGCCAAATCGGACAAATAGGAAAAGGTGGCTCCGATCGAAAAGGGAACGATAATTATGAATAAATCGATCCATTGGAGCTGGAAGACACCCCCAGCCGATTTTGGTTCACAGCGGCAAGAGAGGCTCCTGAGGGGGGTAAATTGGCTGCAAGATGGATTGGGAGATGGGGGAACTCACACTGGAGTACCACTATAAGTGGCCTTGTAAACAATCGGAGGGGGGGCGGGTTCCTCCATGATGGTTTGAATGATGGCTGAACGGGAAGACGCGAGGCAGGAGGGGGAAACGCGGGGAGATGAGAATAGTTGAAGGATGGCAAAGGGATGGGAGTCGAGGAGACGCGTTTTGCAGTTTACCTGAACTCGCGCCAAGAAGTGGGCGTTTGCCTATTCTGGCGTTACGTGTCACCGCTTCTCCAAGAATCGACTCACAAACCGATGTTGCTCACCCAGTAAGATGCACAAACCCTCGCCCAGTCATCCGGTTCCTCCCCATCGACGTGATGGCACTCCCTCGATCGTGCCGTACCGATAATCGATATTGTAGGGACGAATTTCTTAGATCTAAATAATAAACTATAACCACCCCCCACCCCCCGAAAATACGCCCATCATAGCTTCCGGCCGCCTTGATATCCCGATGCTAGTGCCTCATGGTAAGCCGACATCTGGAAGTTACTCGAGTACGATACTCCTCGTATATCTCGCTTACAATGTCTGCCAGCTATACTCGATCCTACAGTACCGGAACATGAGAATTTCCCGGGAACACCGACCACCGACATTTGCATTCAACCAATCATGCGGCACCTGTTCTTTCTTTTGGCCCGCAGTCATGAAATCCCAGTGCGAGACGTCCTGCCTCTTCATGCATGCCCTAATGCGGGCTATTTGACCCACGGCCACCCTGGGGTGTGACTCAGGTTTGGAGTGCAATTCTACACACATGGTAGTGACCCAGACCTCTCCCCACCTCCAATCTTATATAATTAGGGGGTTTATGGCCCGCCGGTATTCTACCGGTACCGTATCCTAATCCATCCCGGAGGCCAGCTTGGCCCGTCTCTACTAGTACGATCGCAGGGGGTCATTCGGGTCAGAACCGTCAGTTCGGTGCAATGCCAACTTGAAGCCTGTCCGAAGTGTCACACAATCGCTGTGGCTGTTAGATGGAGGCTCAGTGATATCCTTTTTTTCTGTTATTATAGAACATGATCTGCTCCATCATTCGGTGCAGCCCGAGAGGCGAATCAGAGGCCTCAAGAGCTCTGGGGGAACTTGGTCGACTCGAGGCCGGCAGATGGCAATAATGATTTGCCCTTGTGTTCCTCCGGACGCGGGAAGATAAAAGTGAACCCCAGCTCTAACCTAGCCATAAATTGGCTGCGATGTGGCTACCATGATTCTGTACCGGTATCGAGCTCATGCGGGGATTGGTCTAACTCCGAGTTTGCAAACTCTCCGCGACCATAGTCTGATCGTGGCCGGGAAGAATTGATTACCGGTACCGATTCTGGAGATAGCATTGTACGAGTACGGTGGGGGAGGGTAGTCGTGTTAGGCAACCCAACTGTTACTGTAGGCCTCACTAAGTAGACCACTGGTACTCGAGTACGGTAGCAGCTTGAGTTGCGTGAAGCATAACTGCGCTGGCCTACCATAGTGGAGGCGGGGACGAGACAAGAGACCTGGAAAAACCAAACGCCTTCTGGGGCTAAAGCGCCTTGCGTTTGGCCGACGCAGTGTCCGCTGCCGGCATGATAACTACGAGGCCCCTCTGATTGCAAGGGTCTGAACCGAGGACAAGAAACACGCAAGTATGCAGTGTCCAGTCGAATTTGAAAGAGAATATTCCACTCCGCTCACAAGACTCAGAGTTTTCTTCTTTCCCATCTGCTTTCGGCAGGCTTCACATCGCTGAGGAACATAATTCGGTGAGCAAGCCGGCAAGCTGCCGTAATAAAAAAAATAATGTTTTTGCTTTGACATGGCTTTTCTGCGGACTGTGGGAAAATACCGGTGTATTCACTCTTTTTTTCTTCATACCCTGTAAATTGTGAAATTTGCGCGCGACTGCTGCTAGAATATCGCTCATGTGGTCGTGATTTCCATTCCCTATTTTCTTTTTCCCCTCTCATTTATCCCCATTTAACTGCAGCCCGCATCACTAATTTCGTCATGCTAGTTCCGAATTGCAGGCTAGATTGGGGAGAGATGCGGAGTCCGGGCGAGGTCGAAATTTCTCGGTACTCGAGTAGTTGGACGCGCAACGGATGGAGGCTCCCATACCAATATGTAGAAAGCAGGCATCCACGTTCTGCAGTGGCGGTCGTACCTCCCGGCTGGGGTATTTCCTTTGTTCGTCGTTACTTTTCTGCCTTCCTCGAAGCAGCCTCCATGAAATGGCTGCATCCAGTGAAAGGATAACCGAGCATGGTTTTATGGATTCAGTGTTTCCCTTCCAGCTGTGTGTTCTTGACGTGGTTCCGACCAGGGCCTGAATGCAGAAAGCCCCAGAACTTCCTAGTTTCTTTAACCGGGCCGATAATCGAGGCCCTGAGCTTTCTTTCGTGCGATTGCGAAGGAAGGGGTGGTCAGTTAACACACACTCCGGTAACAAGCCTACTGTGGATGATTGGCACCGTTTGCCTCTTTCCGGAAGGGTCTTGGCCGGAATACTGGCGGGGATAGGAGGCACGGGTAATGATAGCCAATAGGTCCAGACACGCATAGACTTTTCTTAGGTGGTTAACATTGGAGAGAGGGCCGAAGGGTTGTCCGAATGATAGGTTACCGTAGCGCGGCAATCCGCTGGGAAAACGCTCACCAGAAGGAGGAGCAATAGCAAAGATGGAGGGTAGTAAAGTGTGCATGGGAAGGGGGGAAGGAATAGCGCCAGGCAGCTCCACCACCACCAACCCTAGGCATACTATTTGCAGCTTAGGACAGGCCCGGAACCACCCTACCTTCCCTCAATAGCATTCATTCCTCTAGCGCCACCGCATGATACACAGCGCTGTTTCGTGCTTTCTAGGACATCCCGTACTGACCACACACACCCAGTACTGACGGCTGACTCTCCCTGTAGCTCGGGCGCTATATATATCCACCACTTTTCCTCCCATCCTCCCTACTTCGTCCACTTCATCCACTTCATCGTTCATCCACTCCTCCGATCATCTCCAACCTCACCTATCAGCAAAGCTACCACTGCTGCACTCAACATATCCCGTATCATCAAAAATCATCTACAAAGATCAACCTTTGAGCTCTTTGAACACCGGCGAAATGCAGATCTTTGTCAAGACACTTACTGGAAAGAGTGAGTTTGATATGTACTTTTCCACAGGTTGGATTGTGCGGCTAACAATTTTCACAGCCATTACTCTCGAGGTCGAGTCATCAGATACCATCGATAACGTGAAGAGCAAGATTCGTGAGTGCTCAAGTTTTCCCAACTGTCTAGTGTTTGCATGTTTGATCCTAACTCATTTCTACAGAAGATAAAGAGGGAATTCCCCCGGATCAACAGCGCCTCATCTTCGCTGGAAAGCAACTTGAAGATGGTCGAACCGTGAGTCACCCCCTACACTCTCTAGGGTGGTGGTGGGGCTTTACTAACTTCTTAATAGCTGTCTGATTATAATATCCAGAAGGAATCCACTCTTCACTTGGTTTTGCGGCTGCGCGGAGGAATGCAGATTTTCGTGAAGACCTTGACCGGGAAGACCATCACCTTGGAGGTGGAGAGCTCGGATACAATTGACAATGTCAAGAGCAAAATTCAAGATAAGGAGGGGATCCCACCAGATCAGCAGAGATTGATCTTTGCTGGGAAGCAACTCGAGGATGGAAGAACAGTGAGTCGTTAAATTGCTAAATGTCTATTTATGGAGCTAACATTTATTGCCTCGTTCAGTTGTCGGATTATAACATTCAAAAGGAGTCGACTCTACATCTTGTTCTCCGATTAAGGGGTGGCGCGCCGAAGAGGAAGGTCTGCGATTTCAAGGAGTGTACTAGTGCCCCGCAGCGCATCGTTGGCGACTGCAGAAATTGCGATGGACATTATTGCGCCAAGCACCGTCTGTTGGAGGATCACAAGTGTAGCGGCTTGGAAAACTGTAGGAAGGAATTGCACCGCCAGAATGCGGACAAACTAAACTCGGAGAGGACTAGGGCTACGGTTGGCAGAGCTTAGGCAGGTCGTGGCCATAGGCCCAGTTTGATTTTCGTTTCGGGAATTTATTCTCTTGTGTTCTAGCTAGTGCAGAAGTGTCGGTCTTGCATTTCAGGGAGGAATGGTCCAGATACCCAACATCTCTGAAGCGTTCTGTTTTCTCCTCATAACTTGTATATTTATGTTTTTTTTTTTCATTTCTTTTTTCTCCTGTATTCCGTTACAGTTCGGACATGTTTGCGACGACCGGGAGGGTTTTGGTTTTTTCTTCGAATTTAGCGGTATTCTTAACCTTTTTCCTCCCTCATACCTCTCTTCTCTTGCTATGGTTTGGGAATGTTTCCAGATTGATCGAGGGGCATAGATTTCTTGATTGCGATCAGCGTTTTTCTTTGCCATACGAGTAGTTCATCTCCAATCCAACAAGAAAATAGTAGACGTTTTAGGCAAGTTTCCACTGTGCCTATCATGTTTCCTGAACTTACTCTTTACGTGCGAGATTCCGCAGTCAGGCCGACGAAGCAACACCCGTCTTTCGGACTCTGTCTCCCTCCCTTGCCCGGGAGGGGGGGGGGCAAAAGTGAAAAAGAAAGAAAAAAAACTTCTGCGACCACCCACACCGATATGGTAACTAACTATAACACCGTAATTAACATGTCATACAGGCAGGGCAGGGCAAGCATACAAGCCCGCGATTTCGTACCCCACTGCATGTCTCCGGTTCCAACACGGCATTCCACCGTGGACTGCGTGTCCCGGACTACGGCTCTCTCGTTTATCAGGAAAAGTGAAGGTTGGGGAAGTGGCATGCCTGTCTCCCTCCTCCCTCCTCCCTACGCACGTGGAGTGAAGTTTACGGCAGCGAAGTGCAGCTGGTGATGTCGTCAGGGCGCTTTACTGTCCTCCACAGTCGGAGGAAGGGGTGGGTGATGTGGTGATGCTTCTCTCTTCGATTGTGAGGTAGCATGCTGTATCTGACGCGTATAGCACTACAGTAGTACGGTATCATGCTAAAGTGAGCACATGCTATGATATGTTTGCCAGGTGGTCGTTGGGCGCTCTAGTCCACCTTACCTGTTTCTCTCTGTCTGTCGCGTGTTGACATACTGTACTATTGTAACCTCGCAGCACATGACATTTCTTGCTCGAATCTTTTCTTTTTTTTTCCTTCTTCTTCTCTTCTTTTTTTCATTGAGCATTCTCGTACTCATGGGAAAAGACCAACTGACTGGGTTTGGTCACAGGTTGGGTCGGAGGGCGAGAGGAGGGGGAGTATGGTAAGGGGATTGAAATCACAACATGGAATAGCTTGGACGAAAGTGTCTAAGAAAGAGAGAGAGATCTATGGCACCTACCGGTAGTTCACTATCACAGTGCGGCGCGACAACGAGCCTCGACAAGTCTGAGGATGAAAAGAGGGATGAAAAGGTATCGGGTTTTCAGTACCTGTACTCGAGTACTCGTAGAGCTGTTGCTCCGGGAGTTTTCATTTTCGTTTTTTTCCGGGAGGGGGCGGCTTCTGGAGTGTGACACCCCCACCCTGCGTGCATTTGTGCCTGTTATGGCGTGTTTGGCGTGCAAAATCATGGCCTTAGGGAGGGTGCCTACCGTATCTGTCTGTCTGACGGGCGCTGCTGGGAAAATGAATGGTTCATCACTGGCGCAGAAGGGAGAGCAAGGGAAAACTTTTTTTGAATGGGATTTGTGATGTGAGGATCTTTTTCCTTTTCTTTTTTTCCTTCCTTCTTTTGTTTCCTTTTCTTCCAGCTTTGTGCCGAAAGTCGAAATGTGATCCGATGAATGGATGAATGATACTGGTGCTTGCTTGCAAATCCTGTATCCCGAAGCCACCGCCAGAAAGAAGAAAAGCAACCAAAATCGAACTTATCATACCGCTATCCCGCGTTGGGCATAATGTTCTCGAAGCTCCCCCCAATTTATCCATCCATTTGGTGATGGCAGCGATTGGAAAAGGATAAAAGAAGGATAGAAAAAAGTAAAGAAAAGTTCGTTCCTGGCCTGGCCTGGCACTCGACCTGGCATGGCAATCTCAGGAATCCCGGGCAGCGCAATGACGACATTTTTTGCACCGTTGCTGCTTGCAGCTTGCTTCCTGCAGCATCACGGAGCTTTCCTCCCCCAGACTCGTTTGTTTTGAGAGAAAAATACGAATTTTGCTTTTGGCATGGGTGACACAGGCTTTTTCCCTTTTCCCTCTTTCCTTCCTCCTTACCTTGGCCCCGACCCCTAGCCCCTTGGGGGCGTGCAGTGCCATACTCGAGTACCCGTACCATAGCTCTCGTCGCCGTGCCGTTTCGCACTCGCCACCAGTATCTTTCTTGGATGGGGATCGTTTTTCTTAGAAATTCGTTGGATCTTACGTTAACACCGGTCTGGACCACTCAAGCTGTGGCGATTAATACCGGTAGCGGGAACTGGGAGAGCTGCGGCGAGAGCAGCAGCAACCTCTTCCCCTTCAGCGGTGGCGGCAACGACAGTGACACGGGTGGTAAGGACGAGACCCGCAACTATGCAGACGCGTGCAGGTGTGCCTATGGGCAATGATGATTTGAGCTCAGGTCTCTCTTCCCCGCCATCGGATTTGGATAATTATTCGGACGAGGAGAGGGAGGTGAAGGAGGAGGAAGGCGAGAAGGATGGGAAAAATAATTCGATCGTTTCCAGGTTCTTCCGATCGTCATCTCCGGGGAAGAGTTCGGGCGCTCAGAAGGCTCCTGGGAAGGCTATTGCTCCCGTGAAGAAGGAGCCGACGCTTGGATTGGGGGATATAGTACCGACACTGATCAGGGAGAAGGTGAAGAAGAGGGAAAATATTGTGGAGAAGAAACCTCGAGTGAAGAAGGTTAAGGATGGGGAGCGTGTAAAGGTTGAGGCTCCGGAGAATTGGGAAGAGGTGTACGAGAAGCTTAGGGAGATGAGGAAGATGGTGGAGGCGCCGGTGGACACAATGGGTTGTGAGAGGCTGGGGGATAAGGCGGCCACTCCTAAGGTTCGTGATGCGATTAGGCTTTAGAGTCTGTGGTACGATTGTGGTTAACGTGTACGTGTGCGTTGCAGCTTCGGCGTTTCCATACACTGATCTCGTTGATGCTTTCCAGCCAAACCAAGGATACGGTCAACGCAGTCGCCATGAAAAAGCTTCAGGAGCAGCTTCCAGGAGGGCTTTGCCTAGAAAGTATCTTGGGAGTGGAACCAAAGAGGTTGGACGAGCTTATTAGGATTGTGGGCTACGTCACCAAATCCTAGTCACGAACGATCGCTAATGTCATCGGGATTTAGGTCGGCTTTCACAATCGAAAGACGGAATATATCAAGAAGGCGGCTGTGATCCTCCGGGACAAACATGGCGGTGATATCCCAGATACCTTTGAGGGACTGACGGCCTTGCCCGGGGTTGGACCTAAAATGGCGCACTTATGCTTATCTGCAGCCTGGGACCGAACCGAAGGGATTGGTGTCGACGTCCACGTTCATCGGTACTTGAGAATGATCACTTAATCCCTGATAATAAGCTTTACTAATGGTCTATGTCTACAAATAGGATTTGCAACCTTTGGGGCTGGGTCAAAACCACTACTCCGGAGGGGACCCGGGAAGCTCTACAAGCTTGGCTTCCAAGGGACAGGTGGAGAGAGATAAACTTCCTCCTTGTTGGGTTTGGACAAACAATATGTCTCCCCAGGGGGAGAAGGTGTGGAGAGTGCACCCTATCGAATGGACTGTGCAGAGCAGCGTACATGGAACCAAAAAAGGTCAAAGTCAAGAAGGAGAAGCGAGTCATTAGCGAGGGCTCGGATGAAGACTTTGACGATGACAATTACGCAGCTCCCGAACGCTCTATGAGACCTAAAAGACGTAGGGTTAAAGTTGAGGTCAAAGAAGAGGAAGAGGTGGGGGACGAAGATATGCTCGTCGCTGACATCGAAGACGTAGTCCCAAATTTAGCAAAATTTCGATATAAACGGTAAACGAGTTGATTAACGCAGGAGAGAGGGGGACGGGGGGCGGCTACTCCTACTATCACACACCGGCAGTTGATCATATCTTCCCGTCTCGATCATATCGGCTTGTTGATCGTTGCTGGGCATTTAAACGAGTCAACGGATGATGAGCTCGATTCGTTCCCCATGATGTCCCTGGGTAAATAAGTAAGGAAGACCACGTTTATGGGTTATCCAACAATCAAGCTTCGTTCACATTTCAGGGCTTTGGGGGGGGGGGGGGGACGTACTGTACCGGTACTGTACTGTATCATATCTTATTTTCATTTTTCGCTTCTAGACCTGCTGTAATGGAGCAAAACCCGCTCCCTAATCTGTATTTCCAGGGCGAGGAAAGGCTGGGTGAAGTGGGGTCCGGGTGAGATTTAATCAGATCGATGGTTGTGGTTGTTCGCTCCCTGCTGGTGCATGGGCGGCTTTTTTTATCCACTTTTTACTGTGAAACGATACGACACTCAATTCCTTCTTCCCAAAGCTCCACCGGGAATAACCGGGGGTAAACAATTGCATCGATACCCACCGGTAGGCACAGCGCTGCGGTTATGTCCTCGTACGACAATACCTCCTGGTCACAACCGCTGCTGCTGCATCAAACTGCAGGTATTACTGCATTCGAGTACCGGTAGAGTTGGTCCAACCCATCAATCGATTGACCCTGAGCCCACTATCACTTGCCTGCTCGCTTGGTTTCACGGCATACCGGATACGCAGAAGATCAATTTCCGAGTTTTTTTTGGTTTTTTTTTCCTTCCCCTACCGTGCCAGCATCCTCAACAGACCAACTTCATGCAACTCGGCCGCAGGGGCAGTGCCGGTCAACCAAAAGCTGCCCTCCACCCAAACCCCTCGGAAAATCCGAGGCATATCATACTTAACAGCATTCGAGAAAGACCCTGAAAAATAATACTCCGGTAGCCCTGTGGAGGACCCCTTTGGGAAGCCTCTGATGGCGCACCTCGTTCCCATTTTGCTGGTGGGTTGGGGATCAACGGCTGGGATCGCACTGTAGTTGGCTGTTCGACAAAAAAATGTCTGCACGAAGCTGGCGCCGAAAGGGATAAGTGGAGTGAGGGTCTTCTACTGAGGACAGTTGTATTTACGACTTTCCATCCACTGATCTGGTGAGGTGGTCCAGGTCAAATCTTCTGTATGCGGAGCAATTCCCCGGATTTTGCTTTCCGGTACCTTAGGGGTCTGCCGGTATATCGGTGCTGGTTGAGGATTTCCGGAACATCTGGGGCAAGTGCATTGGTCTCGGTGCACCCCCCGAAGATTTTATAGGGAATAAATATCCGTGGCCCTGCGCTTTCCTTAGCCTCAGTCCTCCGGTATTGCATGCGAAAAACATCCAACAATTCCTTAATAATCCGGGGCTGCTTAGCAAGATATCTGAAAGGGTTTTGGATTATTCTTTCAATTTCTTCAGGAATCTCGCAGTTTAGGAATGTATTGTATGGATTGGGGTACTACGTTCCATTCTACACTATTCTTAGCACCGCGCAGAGACGAGGTCTTCGATTTCAACTCTACCCAGCCATAACAACAAAAACCATGGAGCGGTTCCGATTTATGAGGAAGCCGTATTATACTTTCTCAAGAAGAGGTTATTCCGGTTTAGAAATTTTGGATCGAGCTGACAGCACCGGGAGGCTTCGGTTGTCTAGAGCTATATGATATGATTATGTCGGTATTACCGTACTGTGCCGTACCAGGGGTTGAGGGTACTCGTGCTTGTACGTGAGGTTGAGGGGGTGCGGTTGGCTCGTAGGCCACTGGGGGAGCAGTATGGTACCGGCATCGTGGAGTTGTGGCAGGAGCACTGTGCTCGAGTATCATACCGTAGTTGAGGGCTCCCCTGACTTTTTTTCCACCACCAAAAAAAGAGCCAAGATTGGCCCTTCCCATGGTTACACTCACCGAACTTTGGCCAGTAAAAAGCTGGAATCGCCCTAGTTATTCTCACAAGAGCTGCAAGGCATCGCAACCGAGGCCCGTCTTCTCTTCATCCGGAAGCGGAAGCGGGGGGAAGGAAGGAAGGCTTCTAGAAACCTCCCTTTGGCTGTAATATCCGAATCCAGCCCTTTTTCTTGCTTATCATTCCTCGTTCAATGGTTTATTAAGCATCGAGTCAGCTTTAGTTAGTCCGACCCGATACCGGCAGGCGGTGTCCCTTAGAAAGGTTCAATCCCACTCGGGGTTTCTCGAGCACGCATAGGTAAGCCGGGGGTGATTACACCTTTCCGTCCAAAGGGAGAGTCAGAGGTATGTTAAAAAAGAGACATATCGTGACCTGGATTTTGTACTAGCGAACAACAACTATTGACCTTTTATATATTTAGCGGCCCTCTTACCATTTTTTCCCTATCTTTACCTTTCCCTCTTCCCCTTCCCCGCCTGGTTTCCCGATTCCGTTTCCTATAGATTATTTATTATTATTATTATTATTTCGGTTCGTGATCCAGAGGATTGCATTAACTTGTCACACACTCGGAAGAAAGGGACTAGGCTTAGGTACCCTGCGGTTTCCTTCACTCCAGGAGAGACCGCGTACTCCTCCATATCAGCCGCCACCACCTACTACTAAACAACGACAGTAGACAATCAAGGGACGAAATGGTTTCATTCGAGGAGACAAATCCAACCTTCCACTCGATCCCGGAGGCGGTTGAGGCTTTCCGTAGGTTATTTTCGATTGTCATTGAGTTTGTAGGAGAGGAAGAGGGAGACGGGCTTAATTTGAACCTCGGGAAAGGCTTCCAGCGAAGGAAGAAAGGGCGCTCAACTGAATCCAGGCTAACAATTAACCCGGGGGGATAACAGGAAAAGGGGAATTCATCGTAGTCCTCGACTCCACCGACCGTGAGAATGAAGGCGACCTCATCATCGCCGCCGAAGATGTCACTGTCGAGAAGATGGCCTTTATGGTCCGCTGGACCAGGTACCCCCCTATAATCCCCCGCTTATAACTTTTTCCACCCGTCTGAAGGTTACTCTAGCGGCCTAATAGTAGCCCCCCTCTCCCCACCTCTTGTCGAAAAATTCTCCCTGCCGCAAATGGTCCCAAACAATGAGGAGCCGCACAGCACGGCCTTTACCATCTCCCTTGACTCCCGTGACCCCAGCGTGACGACGGGGATATCCGCCTACGACCGCGCCCTTACGCTCCGTACGCTCGCCGACCCTGCTGCCACCGCCGCTAGCTTCCGGAGCCCCGGACACATGTTCCCACTCCGCGCGGTCGAGGGCGGAGTGCTCGTGCGTAAGGGCCATACTGAGGCCGCTGTCGAGTTCTGCAAGCTTGCCGGGAAAGCGGAGGCCAGTGCTATCTGCGAGCTGGTCAGGGAGAGGGATGGGCTGATGATGCGCCGGGATGACTGCTTGGAGTTTGGGAGGAAGTGGGGGCTTAAGGTTTGCACTATTGAGGGGTTGGTGGAGTACCTTGACAAGACCAAGGGGCAGTAGGAGGTGGGAGTGGGCTGGCAGAGGTGTTGGATGTGCGTGGGATATTTACCACTTGGAAACGGAATGCTTCTTTCTTTTCATCGTTTCTTCCGCTTGGTGTTTTCTCTCTCTTTTTCTTTCGGTATGGGTTATATCTGTCTACCGTTTGCTGGGTACTGTACAGATTACAGAGATGGGGTTTCTTGACATTGCCGTTGATTTCTTGGTCGAGTTGATGTCATAGATGAGCTATTTTCCTTCCTTCCTACCCATCTGTGGAGAAAATAGCCTGCACTCTAGAGTAATTATCCCCTCCCTCGCAGTTCCTTTCTGTCTTATTTGTTTTGTTTCCGGGAATGGGGCATCAGGGCAGGGGATTGCGCACATGCATTATATCAATACACTTCCAAGTCATTACAAGTTAACTTAATTACCAAAATCTCACTCGAACAGACCGCTTCCAGAATTGTTGGCAGGGAGGGATCCCACATCACACGGCGCATACTTGCACTATACGGTATGTATGACACCAAACTTGCCAATCCCTCCACCCGAATCCGGTACTTAATGTATCGTATCTCCTTGCCACCGCCACCGGCACTGGCGGTCAATCAAACCATGACAGGACCGGACCGGAGACCTTGTTTCATACACCTATCCATCCATCCATCCGTCCGTCCATTCATTCATTCATTCATGCTGTCCGCACGGTAGTGTGACTGCAATGAGTACGGAACGGCGCTCAATCCGTCCATGTGTCGATCAATCGGTCGCCTGCCGTATGATACTGCACTACCGGTATTGCGCTCGCCGTCTTACCTAGACCACCAGCGAGTTTTCGAAATCATTTTAGAGTGCCTGCTGCGCCCGCCGGTTACCTGGGGCAAATTTCAATGATTGGAAATGAAGGCAACACTATGGTGGTGGTGGTTGTGTTGCGGCGTGGTTCTGAAGTTCCTCCATAATGCTATGGTATGAGACACTGTTGTGGTTTGAGTGCTGGTAGGGTTTCTCCGGTGGCTTGGATTCAAGGATGTCAATGTCATGGTAGTGCTACACCGGTAGAGACCATTAGAGCTGCTAGGCGCAGAATATTTATTTGTCTGTTTATTATACCTGTCTACGCCTACTCCATGCGGCTGTAGTATACAGTAAACATTCTCCTTTCTCAATACAGGATACCAACAAAAACTGATCAAAGAACCGGAAAAGAGGGGGGAGAAAAAAATGGGGGGGGGGGGAAACATCGGATAATCGAAACGCAGAGACCTCGCAGAGAGGGACCCTGATGATATAAGGAACTAACCAACGGACCAAGCATTTGGGATCTAATCACACTCCCCTTCTCCCTTCACGCATATACAAACACAAATACCGGGCATTATTTCTCAAAATTCGACGGCTGCACTATCACCACGATAACGAGGGTCGCTATCATGAGCTTTTTCCATTTGGTTAATGCAACAGGTATTAGCCTGACTTCTCTTCAACTACCACGATTAATAGCGGAAGCAGGGCGTAAAGTACCAGACATGCCACCAATGTTAACAGGAAGATGCTGCCTCTGCTTGCAGGGAATTTGCCTTTTAGAAGCCAGCCTTGGGATTCGTAGTATCTGTTTGCTCAGGTGGCCATGGGACGCCAAGGTGGGGTTAGAATAGGACTACCCCCGGGGAGCGTATTAAGGGGAGGACAGGAGGGAAGAAGGTACTAACCTGTTTACGCCAATTAATAGAACCATGATTGCTATGCCGATGAAGGTGGCACCGAGAGGTTTCCCCATGTGGCGCATTGTCTGATAGCCCTCTGAAATGCGCGTTTTAGAAGCCATTAGTTGGAACCTAAGGTGCAAGATAGGCGCCGTTTTGGCAAACTTACTAGGGCTGCCCGGTTGGACTCCGGCGTTCAGACGGAAGAGCTGCGTTATAGCAATGCCTGGTTGGGAACGCACGACGTTAGCCACAGCACGAAACATCAACTCTTCATCATTTCTCATACCTATTGAGGCAAACCCGAGGGATGTCCTCAGCCAGGCCAGGAATGTTCGTTCTAACACCAGGACGTCAGTAAACGAACGGCTAGTGAAGGGGGATGGGGGAAAACACACCTAATGCCAGATGGTCCCGGGCAACAGAACCTTTATTCTCCAGTTCAATGGCACCAAACCCCATCCACGGTGTCTTATCAGTCGAGACCTCTTGAGTAGGGGGTTCTCGGGCAGGAGCTCTCCGAGTGATACCGGTAGTTGCGTCGTAGCTCCTGGTCCGACCGGAGGCAGCAATCGCTGTCCTCTCGTCGGCAGAGCTCTCTTCCGCTTGACTAGGCGGACCCAAATCACGTCCTGAAGGTCTCCGTCGTGGCATATCGGGAGTTGGACCGGGCTGTTTTTGTTGTGGGGACCCCGGGTTGTCGGGCAGAGGCGGAACCTCTGACGAATGCATCCGGGGAAACAAACGCGGGGAAGTCCTTTTATATTCCGGTTCAGGATGGATGATGCCTGCCGTTTCGTGGGGGAGCTGAGTGACCATAATACGAGTATGATAGCAAATAAGGTCGGTATTGCAATAGGTGAGTGGAAGGTTGCGTGATTCCCACACATACACCACACGGCTACTGCGCAGTACGGTATCTACTTTTATTGCCTTTCATAAGCCTTGCTCTCTGCCAACCTCTAGGACGCCTAGACTATACTCGGGGGCTTTTGCACGGGGGCCGAGCTCGCTAAAGGTAGGCAGCTAACCGGAAGAAGGGAAAAGTGGTGTCAGTACGAGTACTAGTAGACAGAGCTCGGCTTGATGTTTTCTTTTAGGTTACGGTTTTTACGAAGCCCATTAAGGAAGGCTCCCGTCCGGGAGGCTGCGTGTTCCCGCAAGGTTTAAATTCTCCTCCTGATCGGTCGAATGAAACGATTACCGAGCCGGTACGTAGAAAATGCGCGACGAGAAAATTACCGGTAGAGTATTGGGGCGGAATTCTTCTCGCGTTGAGGGGCAGGGTACAGTAAAGTGAGGAGGGAATGAATGGTGTGAGAAATCTATGATAGTGCTAACCAGTGAAGACTCCCCAGAGGGTCGCGAGAAGCGCACTAACCCTAGTCGGGACCAACCGTAGCAAGTCGACTTTTGAGACTGTCACGCGCGGTCGAGTTGACTTCTTAGACATTTGTTACTGTAAGCTAGCCTGCAGTGGCAGGAGGGACGGCAGACGGCAGGGATCCACGAAAAATCCAGTGGCAAACATCAAATTTGGCTCCACCCGTTCGTTGACTGCCAATGGTGCTGCCAATGTGACTCGCGCGTGACGTTTTACCGAAGGCAGGAATATCGGCTTGGACTTACTTAACTCGTGTGTAATCGTGACATGGATAGCCATCTTTAGCGATACAGCCCTTTTTCCGATCACTCCGCGAAAAGATTCAAGTTTTTAAGTTTGCTCTGTTGTAGCAACGTATAACAGCGCACGGGCTTGCTTATCACTGCGCCTGGTATGTGTGGTTAATGTACTCGAGTACTGGCCTATCACTCGCTGGGGTTTCAACACAGCATATGGTGAGGGACTCATGTAGCCCGAGTAATTTGCCAAGAAAATGTTGCTCAACTTTGAGCCCCAGAGGCTTTTCAGTAGCCGCTCTGGTGGGAATTATAGTTCTATTGGATGATATAGCAGGTGGTCCTCTACACATTAATCGAGAGAAAATAAAAATATCACAAGTTTTCATGGAGTTATAAGGGTTTAAAACTAGGTGAATTTTTGGCCAGTGAAGGGGAATGTCCGGAGCATGTTAATTAGTGTTAGTTTCCATGGCACAGTCAGCTAATGGATATTTGCCGAGAAATTAACCTCTATCAGGTCCCTGCTTGAACGTCCCTCACCATACCTCCTATGCTTGGTTAATGAATCTCGTACCGTAACAAACATACCCACTTTCCTCAATGCTCCTCCTAGGGAACAATAAAACCAAGGAATCGAGGAGCTAGCCGAAAGACCCTTTCTAGAAGATCCAGATCACCTGAAAAGTGTTCAATTGGCTGGGTTGACTTCGCTTCGCTCAGGTGAAATGCTTGCGATGACTATCGGACCTCGCGATACACAATTGAAATAGCTAGTGTTCGAAAAATACGGTACGTTACCGTACTGTATCGTATCTTATCTAATGGTAACTTACCGTAAACATACAGTTCGTACCCTAGAAATAGGCGAGTGATCAACCATGAACAGCTTTGCTTGTAGAGGGATCTTCTGTCAATGCCCGACCAAGTATCTTGGGCAAAGGAATACATTGAGAGAAGAAGAGGAATTGGTGACCGAGAATATTTGGGCTCTGTGGTGTGCCGCTGACAGACTACGACACGTGGGCAAGCAGAGTCAGCCGTGTTCCATATAGAGGTTACGTATGTGCTACTTTTGATACTTGCTACCTATGGCGCCTCCCTTCTTTCTTCTCCTTCCCTCCTTGGTCTCCTCCTCTTGGCTTTGCGCCTAGTTCCCACCCGTATGGTGCTTGTTTGGGATACTGCATTTCTTGACCTCCTATCTTTTCCTCGTTGAAAAATGGTAGACGCTAACTTATTCTCTGGAGATGTCGTGGTGACTGGGGGGGGGGGGTGGGCGTTGGGAGAGGGAGAGGTAGAGGCGGCTGGTGAGCGAGAAGTATCTGATGAGCTTGACATATCTTCCCTACAACCATACTCCTGGGCCTATTTTTTTGTTTTGGCCATATGATCCCCCAAACCATGATGTGTAATCTACGTTTCTGTTGCTCCGACTCAAAACATTGCTAAGTTGTCTATATGGGCGCCAAACCTGGATGACCATGGCAGCCTAGGCATGGAATCCAGCGCTATGGGTTACTAGGCTCTCTTTTAACAAGGTAACACCCGTTTTCTCCTCTCACCTACAGTTTGCTCCGGGAGCGGTCACCTCAATAACTCCCGGGGAATCTTTTTGTCCTGACTCTCACGGGGATACTCCCAGGGGATTTACTCGGGTACCAGCGTTGTTGTCATCCGCTGCCGGTCGTCGCCTGGATTTGGGTTTACGGCAAACTGGTCTCCTCTCTTGATCAACCCCCGATTTGAACACACCTTTACTAAACATAAAGGAGGCCAGGGACACCTAAATTTCCAACCTTCTTACGCCGCCTGCTTCATCTAGCTCTACACAAAAAAGTACAACCACTCGAAAGGCGGGAGGCTTGTGGAGAAAAATTAAAACAATGGCACAAGGGGACCGGTGGCTGTTTCCCCCTAGTGCTTTGAAAGCAGTTAAGAAGAACGGTAAGTATACGCTTTAATAATTTAATGAGTGACACGATTGGCTCAGAACCTCATCAGAGCCGGATGCCCGCACCGGCGTAGTGCTCCCGGGGCTCGCCATTTGCAATTCACTCATTGGGCCTCGCAGGCCTGGGAGTTGGGCGCCAAGTGATGCGACCAACTCTGTGAACGAGACCTTTGTGCATTTGCTCCGACAGCCCGGCTCTATCCGTGCACCTAGACGCAGCCAAACCATCCGTCTTAAAATACCAGTCTTTAGTATTGGTAGGACTGATTCCCTTGAGATACCTCAACATCCCTCGAAAGGTGAGGTGGGTAGAGCGGAAGATACTGGTACCCAAGCCCAACTTGTCCAATCCTGGGGTGCCCCCGGATCGGTGAGTCGTTGGTCTTCTAGTGATGAAGGGGGCCAGGCAGATCCCCAGAAATTGTAAGTTATGCTCTAGTTCAGAAAGATTGCTGCAGGAAAGTTAAGGTCACTTTCCAAGAGTTTGTGTTTACAACTTTGTCAATAGGCTTCGAGCTACTCTCTCCAAAAGGTTCAAAGGGATAAGCGCCTCTCCAACCAAGATGAATGCTGAAGAGCCTCGGGAGAACCCAGAAAAGAAGGGCTTTATCACAGGTCAGTTCCCGAGTTTGGTTTAACGAGGTATCGAGAGCTTTGCTAATTGTTTGAGAAAGATGATGCGGAGATAAATGAGCCCAGTCATGGTGTTTTTACTTATTTCGGGGACTCCAATGCCAAACCTTGTCTCCCTGCTGCAGGGGAAGTCCTTCACGTGCGTGGCTTGCAAGGCTCCGAATGTTTGGCTCTTGAGAATATTGACGGGATTGCTCGTGTCGTGGCTGGGAATCTGCAATGTTTTGCTGCTGAAATTGGGCATCCAAGTTTCTGCCTCGAAGGTGCGTCCTCTCGGGGCCCAATACTGATTCCCTCTGACTCAAAGCGTTTCACAGATTGCGAGTCTTTCATGAAAATTATGGTTTTCTGTGGTTCGGTCTTCATCGGACGTATCCCACTTTTGAACGAACTAGCTCGCCAAATTGTTGCTTCACAAGGAAAACCGGATAGGCAACTGAAGTATACACGATACCCTTTCTTATAATAAGGAGTCAATTGAGTTTACCTAACAATTCATCCTACCAGTATCTGCCGGTTTATCGCTTATTGGCAGAAGGAAAAACCTGAGGATTTCTTCACTGAACAAGTGGGAAATGCCAGATATGATGTCCTCCAGGCTTTGAAGATTACCGGGAATACGACAGCAGCCAAGCTGCTAGCAGATAGCTGCATAGAACACCAACAGGATTACACCGAGTATGTAAAGTTTGCTCACTCACAGAAGGCGGGTTGGGTTCCATTCCGTGATCTCGTATTCGCTTACCGTAGACTCGTTACACCGGAGCTTTGTGCGAAGGGCTTGACCGGAATGGATTATGAGGATCTAGCCAAATATCTTGCTATCATGGTTTGTAAAGTTCTCTACAAATTCTTGAAACGGTGGGCTGATGAGACTTAACTTAGGATTTGTTACTCTTCCGTGACGCATCTGAAGTGAGCACTTTAGACGAATGGTGGAAAGAAAAACAAGATGAATCGAAGCCGAGATATCATTACAACGATCTTTGGACCGCTGAAAAAGACACGCATTGGTGGTGGGCGGTTGAGAGGGTGCAACGGCAGCTAGTTCGGGCTGAGATGGTTAGTGACAGATCAAGATACTGGCAATACCTTATCCGTTCTTCGAATCAGTTCTGAAAACAGCGCAGATTACACATTGGACTAGACTCGAAATTGTTCAACTCGAGACAGTCAAGGAGAGAGCCAAGATGATTGAAATTTTTATAGATACGGCAGAGAGTCTTCTTAGGAAATCTTCGCTTAATAGTGCCCATTGCATTGGCGAGGCCTTAACCACGCCTCTCATAAGATCCTTGGGACGCAGTTGGGGAGTGAGTACATGAGAAAAAAAGGTCACCATTTGAGCGCATGCTAATATCTTTCTCTCAGCTTGTTGGCGAAGCTCAACATGCCCGCTTCAACGTTATTAAGACCTTTCTTGAGGATGGGCTTGCCCCCCAAATACCCAGAGGGCCCGTCATACCTTATTATCGTAAGACCTTATCAGCTCCCCTTATTAGTTCTATCTAGCGCCTGGATTTACTGATATTTATCTGTTGGCTTTAGCCGACTTCTTAGAGTTAGTCACCAGACTCTATGAGGAGAACGATCGCTCTAATCGTCTTTCAACCATGCCCGCCAACCTGGCCCATAAGGATGTTTTGCTTAACGATTTTGGGTCGTTTAGTGAGGGTGGAAAAACAAATCTTGGGATGCTCTCCAACTATCCTGGCATCTTGCATAAATCGATCGATTTAGCAAAGTACAGGATCCTGCTTACTACGGTCCAAGAACACCAGGAACTTGCAAGCAAGGATTACAAATTTTGTGGCATGATCACCAGGGATTGCTTCGGACTGAGACTCCATCTTTCGGGTCCCACTAACTACCGTTCCTTGAATCGTCTTGAAAATAAGGTTACTGTGGACAGTCATAAGGGGAGATTGAATGATCTATCTAAGTTGGTTGAGACTAGGATGCTTGAGGCTTGGGCACTCCTCGCAATTACTGACATTTCCCCAAGACTCTTGACTCCTGAGATCAAGCGTGACATTCTTTTGCAGGGTCTGTTCAAACTTACCGGGGAATAGCGTATCTCGACTTTTTTTTAAAGCTGGGGAAGTACCCTTTTTTCCTTACTAATCTCGAAACACTGATTTTGATTCCGGACAACCAGCTTGTCTTGTAGGCGGAAACCACCAAGATAATCTAGATACCATCCCCCCCTTTAGCTAGAAGACAATAAATGATTATTTTTGTGGTGCTCTTGCTCTCATGGGTTCAGTGTGTTGTCTGCCTTGTGCCGGAGGGTGCGTGAGTCCGTAAACAGGCTGTTCAGCTACAAGTAATAGAGGTATCAAAACGGACCGGAAGTGAATTTAGAGTTTCTTGGCAAATTAAACGCGTGGGGTGGATATGACCTGATACCCCTCGTCAACCTCAGAGCCCCAACACCAGCTGTTACGTTCCCCACGTGCTTCCTCTCCGGATCCAAGCGATACTTTACGATGCCCAGAGAAATCATCAGCATTCAGGCAGGCCAGTGCGGGAATGCCGTGGGGTCTTCCTTTTGGCAAACACTCTGTAGGTATCTTGCTATCAAGCTTCCATGATATCTGACAGCGAATAGGTCAAGAGCACGGAATCTCCCCTGACGGTAACCTCGAGGCTGTCGAAGAAGGAACCGATCGAAAGGATGTTTGTTCGCCAATTATCCTGATAGCCTGCGGGCTCTGGCTGATGGCTACTAGGTTTTCTTCTACCAATCCGACGACACGCGATACATTCCACGCGCCATCCTACTAGATCTCGAACCTAGGGTATGTGTTTAGCTCACGAAAGTTAATGCTGGGAAACCGGCCTAAAGCTGACCGGGACTCAGGTCATCCACGGAATCCAAACGGGCCCGTACAAGAACATTTACAATCCGGAAAATTTTCACGTTCCAAAACATGGGAGTGGTGCAGGGAACAATTGGGCAGCAGGTTTCTCCGCCGGCGAGACGGTCTACGAGGAAGTTATGGAGATGATTGAACGTGAGGCAGACGGTAGTGATTCTTTAGAGGTATGTATATATGAGGCCCTGGCCTAGGCCCCGGGGGTCCCAGACTGATGGTAGGGATATATAGGGATTCATGCTTTTACACTCCATCGCCGGAGGTACAGGGTCCGGCCTTGGATCGTTCCTTCTAGAAAGGCTCAACGATAGGTTTCCGAAGAAGATTATACAGACTTATTCGGTGTTCCCGGATACGCAGAGCGTGGGAGACGTGGTCGTCCAGCCGTATAACAGTATTCTTGCCATGCGGCGGCTTACTGAGAATGCTGACTCCGTCGTATGTTCCAAAAATAATATTCCTGTGTTTGCACTAGTCGTACTGACTTTATTCTTAGGTCGTCCTGGATAATGGCGCCTTGACGCGTATTGCTGCGGATAGATTACATGTTCAGCAGCCGTCTTTTGCGCAAACGAATCAATTGGTTTGTGCTTCTATGGTCTGAAGATACGTTTGCTGACTGTGCGGAGGTGTCTACTGTGATGTCGGCTAGCACAACTACGCTCAGATACCCGGGATATATGCATAACGATCTTGTCGGAATCATCGCTTCACTAATCCCAACACCCCGGTGTCATTTCTTGATGACTTCCTATACTCCCTTTACAAGTGATATCGTAGACCAGGCGAAGACGGTCCGGAAAACTACGGTTCTCGATGTTATGCGCCGACTGCTACAGCCCAAAAACCGCATGGTCATGACAAATACCACTAAGAGCAGTTGTTACATTTCCATTCTGAATATCATTCAGGGAGAAGCCGATCCGACGGATGTAGGTTCCGCTAGTTCGCTCGTAATCCTCAAGATCTAACTCATGTGTGATGCAGGTACACAAATCGCTTCTCAGAATTCGTGAGCGTCGACTCGCAACCTTTATTCCATGGGGCCCTGCAAGTATCCAGGTCGCTTTAACTAAGAAGTCACCTCATATGCCAATGTCCCATCGTGTTAGTGGGCTTATGCTTGCAAATCACACAAGTATCGCAACCGTACGTGGAAGGCCTCCTTTTTGGTCTCGAGCCCCGACTGACGATTAGCCCTTTTGTCCGTAGCTGTTTAAACGAATCTTGGGTCAATATGACCGCCTCCGAAAGCGAAATGCGTTCTTGGAACAGTACAAAAAGGAACCCATATTTGCCAATGACCTCGGAGAGTTTGATGAAGCAAGGTGAATTCAAGTCTGCACATTTATAACAAAGTTTAACCTTCTAATAACGAATTAGAGCGACGGTGGCGGATTTAATAGCCGAGTACGAAGCTGCGGAGAGTGCAGATTATCTCAACCCCTCACCAGAGAAGGGTGCGGAGCAATCATGAGAGTGAAGGAATCTTGTACGATTACGGGACTTACGGGTGATGTCTTTCTTATGACGTGTTATGACTTGGATTTAATGCGAAATCTCACGCTGCCACTCCCATGCCTTATCTGCTGGCTACTGGAAATGAGATTCCGCGTCGTCCAAAGGCCAAGTGTACGGTACTATACAACACCCGCAGTACTCTGTAAATGTGATTCTATTCTCTGCTAGGGGAATTCCAGCATAACTGCCGAGGGGTCTTGGAGATTATACATAGGGCTTAGACTATAATCAGAGACGAGGAATCTGGGTCTTCTCTAAAGTGCATCAGATTGAGAGATGGTGGGGGGGGGGGAGTAGTTAAGCGGGTTCTCGTTGCAATCCCCCCTCCACTATTGCCGCCCAAGGTGTTCTTTCATCCTTAGACTTCTGAGCGGTTGGACTCGAATGAATTATTTGCGTGGCCGACACGCCACTTTAAAAACTCTTGACAATCCGAGCGGAGTTGAAAAAAAGGGGGGTTCCCCTGTCTTAGACACATATCCGGCCATGCTTTAACCTGATCTAGCAAAGATCTCTGTATCTTTTGTTGGTTTTCCTGGCGATCCGTTGGTGGCTTGGGGTCGAGAATCGTCTTATAAACAGCTTTGCTCGCACCCATGGTGATGCATTTTTTCCTTTCTATCATACTTGGTTAGTCAATAACCGAATTACTGTACTGGTACAGTACTCGCACATTCGCCCGGGGCGCGGGCAGCGGGGCGATATCAACTCCGTTGAGGTCAGCAAGACCCTTCAAAGTTGAAATAATTTAGCGCTTAGAGGCCAAAGGAAGCTTGAGTCAACATGCGGGCTCGTCCGGGTAGACTAGGGATAGCCTTTAGGATGGGATTTCAGAGATGTTCTACGGTACGGTACTCGTACACAGGGAATGGTTTTCGAGACCCTCGCCACTTACTGGTATCCAAAAGGATGCCAGGAAGGACCGCTTTGAGAATCCTGGGCCACACTTTATTTTGACCTCTCGGAGGGAAAACAAGTTTCACTAGATTGTGGTATGATAATATTACGAGCTCTTCTTGTCGTGAGTCTTGAGGCCTGTTGTATTATACGAGGGTTATCTAGTCATACCAGCTGCAGTATCATAGCTGACATGCATTCATACCGGTAGTCCAACCATCAGAGCTCCCAACGATCAGAGTCACTTTGGTCGCTTATTTTCTTGATCCGAATACCGGTACGGTACCGATAATGACAGATTTCCTGGTCGCCACCCCAGACAGACTGAATTTACCGTATGATATGTCCGCGCACGCCAAGGGATGAAAATTTCAACCCAGGATTCGGGTTTTGAGTACCGGTGTGTATATAAAAAACAAAGATGGCAAATGACTGTTGTCGTTTTTTCTCCAAACTCTCATACTGCCCTACCGTATTCACTCATCCATCCGGTCCAATGAGCAACTCAGAGGAGAAGCCCACTCTTACGAGTAGCAGCAGGCAGCGGTAGGGCTGAGTGAGCTAATACCGAAGTGTTTATCGCAATCCCGCTCCTGTGCTGGCCAAAGTTCCGCCATGATAATTGGAGAACGATGCAGCACCTGTAGAGTTACTGTACTACGGTAGTACCGGTATGAGTACCAGACAAGGACAATGATTTCAATGTGTCAAAAAAGTCCCCAGCCGCGCTCCGAGACTTTCTCTACGGAGACACACCATGCCGCTTAACTGTGCGTGCAAAATTGGGTTGATCCGATGATTCAAACAAGCGTCCCCGACCACGCGGGGCCAACATCTACTCGTACGGTACGGTAGTTTCGGGAGGGTTCCGCTGTCGGTAGCGTGCAGTACCGGGGCACACCGGTGCGATGTTTTTGGTTTTACCGTACTTTCTTTTCATCATGCAGGCTTGTTCTGGCCGGGGGTGGCCTTGGTGTTGTCGAATCGGTGCCTGTAAAGTCGGCTCAGCCGTGCTGAATGGATACAAGGCCAAGCAGCTGATGGGTATGATAGCTTTTCAGAATTGAACAGCCAATTCGTGTGTTGGGCAGGCTAAATTACCTAATGGCCATGCACCCTGCGGGTCTCTGGTGGGAAAGCCCCCAAAACGTGGGAGGTACCATAGAGTTTTTTTTTTCCTGATCCTGATCCAAACATTTTTTATCACTATATATTATATATATTTATCCCTTGTTTTTCGTCTCGCCTTTACTCTGCTCGGATGCTCTCGATCTGCTACATCGGGACTTTCTACCAGATTGATGAACGGGCAACTCGGGGCCAGTTGCGGTACCGTACGGTGCAGTACCGGTAACCTGCTATAATACGACACTGCTATTGGCGATCATGGTGATGACGAACATGGTATGGTGTGGTTGTGAGCAGGATACAGGGAGGTGCCGTTCCTGACTCTACGAGTACTGGACGGGCCTGTACCCACCTGTCACCGACAACCAGGCTGCAAGGGGGGTGTCATCGCTTCCTTCTCTCAGGATAGAATACCGGTAGTACGGGAGTGTCTTATCATATCCATGGAGAGACTCTGTTGTCAGCAAGCCGAGAGCCTTGCGTTACCGGGAACTCTTTGAACATTATTGACCGCCCGACGGCGCGCACCTTTCTGACGCCTCGGTGCTGGCTTTCTGTTAGCATATCTTCAGCTGCGATCCCTCCATCCACCCATCCCTCCAGGTCCCAGAGATAACGACTGGGAGGTCCCTTCGCTTCCTGTATTTCAAAAAGCATACCAACACTTCCCCATTGCTCTCCTCCTGGTTGGCAGTCAGACAATCCTCATCCCCGATATCGGCTTCCATTGGCCCAACGGAACTGATGGATCCCTTCTTTTCCACCTGGACGAGCTCCTCGCTTTCCAAGCAGCATCACTTCACTTCTCCGGCTTCCGTCGACTTTAATACCTGGTACGATTGAATCTGATGACATGCTCTATAATATCATATTTTGATCGGTTCGCTAACGACCATATACTTGTTGAAGGGGCCTAGGAAGCACCACTCGACTGGCTATCTATGGAGTCACTATCGTTCTAGCTGCCTCGTTTTTGCTGCTACAAAGATTTCTAAGTGGCGACCCTTTCTTTCCGCGTGCCGACTACAGATCCTACAATATCGTTAATCGGAAACTATTCCTGGAACTCTATGATGCGGATGAGCTGCCGAAGGCTCCCATCGAAGAATTGAGAGGTGAGGCTCAAAAGGGGCCCTATGGTTCACCCGGCTGTGGGAACTGGTTTTAACACGGTATCAAGGCACCCGCTTGAGGTTCGCATGGATCCAGGCTTCATGTTTCGGCGGTCTCGTGTCCGTCAACGCAGCTCTGCTGATCTTGCGGTGTCTACGGGGCGAGATTATAATCGATGAGGGTAGGCCCATGGTTTCCCCTATGCTGCTTTAGGGTTATGTGCTTACGTACCGGTATGTATGTGGGGATTTAGTCGCTGAACTTGTTTACTGGACATTCCTGTCCACCCTCTTTCTATACCGTTTCTACCCTAACCCCTATAGACCGACATTACAAACCCTGACATCTGTGGGGAGTCTTGTACCATTGCTGCTAATCATGGAACGTGATATATTACCTAAATTGCTTTTACATCCATCGCGTGAGAGGCTTCTTGATGTTCGCACTGGATGGGTAGTATATACTCGACTTGGGCTGACGCTAGCCATCGGTATCTTGGCTTTGGCTACGCCCCGAGTGTGGTATCCGGTAGACCCTTCAGCAGGCAGTGAACCCACTCCCGAACAGGTATGGAAATTGGACACATTATGTGGGGTTGCGGTAAGCTCTAATAGAAAGTGATAGGTTGCGTCGCCTTTCAGTTATGCCATCAGTTACTATTGGATAGAGAGCATTATACGTATTGCCTATCGCAGGGACGTTGAAGTAGAAGACTTGCCACCGATTCCCGACTATGATCGCGGGAAATTGTGGAGTAGGATGATTGCTAATCATCAACGGTCCACCACTTTCTGGACCTTGCTGTCACTCATGAAATACGAGTTGTTGCTCATGACGCTCTTTAGTTTCCTTATAGGTGCTACGCAGGTGTGATAATTTCTCTCTCGGAGAATAAAAGTATTTGCTAAGAATGCATCGTTAGTTTATCTGGCCTCTTTCCATGAAACACCTCTTGGCATATATTGAAGGATCGTCCCAACCTGTTATCACCCCTTGGGCTTTTGTCATGGGGATGTTTTTGGGGCCTCTCCTTGGCGGCGTAGCGTGGGAAGCTTATGTCTTTCAGTCCAACCGGTATGAACGCGATTGCTTGTCGAGTCGAGGGGTAGCTTGCTGAAAAATCCTAGTGTGGGTATTCGTGTTAAGGCAGCCCTCACTCAATCGCTGCTCGAAAAGACTCTCAAAATCAGATTTACTGCTGATTCGGTTAGCAAGGAAGAAAAGAAAAACACCGCCAAGACGGACAAGGGAAAGGGGGACAAAACCGAACCTGAGGAAGACCACCAGAAATCGAGGGTTGGGAGGATCAACAATCTCATGAGTTCTGATCTGGCTCAGCTATCCTCTGCTCGGTCTGTTTCCGCATGTTCTAACTTGGGGGAATCTGTTGCTGATATTTTTCTATAGTGATTTTTTCCTTGTCTTTGGATCTGTACCAATTGAGATCTTGTTTTCCATGATTTTTCTCTATGGACTACTGGGGTGGTCTAGTATAGTTGGTGTAGCTATGATGATCGTTACAATGATCATACCTGGCATACTTGCGAAACTACTGGCTAAAGTCCAAAGAAGGACTCGGTTGGCTAGCGATGCTAGGATAGAGGCGATGACTGAGACACTCAACTCTGTTCGGATTATCAAATTCTTTGGTATGGAGAAAGTTTTCCTATCGCGGATCCGCGAGAAGAGAGAGACTGAGCTATGGCTTTCTTTCCTCTCAATGGTTTACACTTTGGGATTTTATACTGTTTCGCATTTGCTGCCGATTATCAATATGGTATGTATTCACTATTGGTTAAATAGACCTTGGAGTATATTTTGACTAGGTTAGATCGTTACGTTTGGAATTTATACGGAGGTCATGAAACTGCCCCTGACTCCTAGTATCGCATTCACCTCGATAAGGTTTGTCCCCGTTAAAGCTTAGTGTGACATGTGTTGGGGGAGACACTTTCTGATTGTGTGAAATTCTAGCTTGTTTGAGATCCTTAGCCATCAGTTCTGTATGTCAACCTCAGCTTTTAAACTGAGAGTTTTACTAACAGTTACTAGCATGGGTGTCCCATGTCACCCGATCACTGATATCAGCCTTCATTGCATTCGATCGTGTCGACAAATTCTTGATCGAAGAAGAGGAACTCGAGAGGGTAGAGCAGATTGAAGGCACCGCAAAGAGAGAAATTGGACCCTATCTCAAAAATGCAACACTTTCCTGGTCTATGCCTGGATCGGGAACGGATGATGGCTTTAGACTCGCTAGTATCGACGTTGAGTGTGTGTATGGCGGATTAACTGTCATTGCGGGCCCCGTGGGCTCCGGGAAGAGTTCATTCCTGCTCGGGCTTTTGGAGGAGATGCGGCTTTTGAATGGCGAAAGGTTTTTGCCTCGTGGCGATGGGGTTGCTTACGTTGCTCAAACAGCTTGGTTGCAGTCGTTAACTATTAAAGATAATATATTGTTCGGTAGTCCATATGAAGAAAAGAGGTACAATGCTGTTCTCGAGGCATGTGGTCTGTCAGAGGACATAGAGAAACTCGACGCGGGCGACCTTACAGAGGTATTTAAAGAATCCATGGCCGGTGTTGCGCCATAACCGCTAATATTCTGAACTAGGTCGGCGAGCAAGGGGGTAAGAAACTCGACGGGCGTAGGTTCGTGTAAGGATAGTGCTGATCTCTCTAGTAACCTTATCCGGAGGTCAAAAAGCACGATTAGCGTTGGCAAGGGTATGCTTGCCCGGTTTCCCGCCATGGCCCGGGGAATTCTGCTAACGTGTCCAGGCTGTTTATTCACCCGCGCAAACCGTTCTCCTTGACGACGTACTTTCAGCATTAGATGCTGGCACCAGCAAGTTGGTTTTTGAAAAATGTATCAAGGGCGAAGTATTGGCTGGCAGGACAGTAGTTCTGGTCACACATCAGTATGTGCTGAATGAACACCACTACGGAGCCTTGAGCTAATAGGCCCTTCAGCTTATCACTCGTTTCACCAGCCGCCAAGAAAATTATTGTGCTCGCCAACGGTCGGGTAGTTTCGGATAGTAGCCCTGAAGCACTTTCCGATGATGCAATTGAACTCTTGAGAGAAAATGAAGAAGCTGATATAGTGACCAACGATGTGGCACTGGTCGAGCTAGTCGAACAGCCGATAGAAGCGATAGTACCGGAAGCGAAGCCGAAGAATTCTGGAAAGCTTGTTGCTGAAGAGGCTCGCAACAAGGGAAGAGTGCCAAAAAAGCTAGTGTTTGAATACCTTAGGTATTTTGGGCCATTGATTATCACACTTGTCTTGGTTTTCATTAGCATGTTGGATAAAGTGGTCGAGTGAGTGTCCCCTGGGCATTCTTCACCGCGGTTTATTCACTAACAATATGAAGCTTGGTTGATACGTTTTATATTGGCCTTTGGTCTAGTGGGTTGCACTTGGACATAGATTTCTCATCAGGCCAAGTGAGCTAACTACCTCTCTAGACGAATACTCCAAACCGGGCCCGGTTGACGTTAAGTGGTGGCTGGTAAGAGCATGAACTGTTTCCAAATGTTTTCTTAGCGCTAACTTGTTTTAGTCGGTGTATGCAGGTAAAGATGATACTGTCCGATAGGTAATACCGGTGCAAATACGCTGACCGAGATCAATAGCTTTGTTGATTGGAACATCAATTTTCAATACCTTGGTCTACAGCATTTGGTATTTCTTCGCTTGGGTAGGGGCAAGGAGAATTCATGAGGAACTGGTATCTGCAGTTTTGTACTCTCCGATACGGTTTTTCGACACTACTCCCGTTGGAAGAATAATCAATCGCCTCTCAAACGACATCGCGTAAGTCCTCCTCGGTTCCTCCTCCCCCAGCGGTCTCGGCTGACAATAGTAGCGCTCTCGATAATAACTTGGGTGCATACGTAAATATTGTGCTTGATCAACTGCTTGACATAGTATTTAGAGCGGTTGTCATGACCGGATTGTTGCCAGCCTTTTTTTTTCCAACAGTCTTGGTTTCCTTTTTCGGGATCGCGTGCGGTGAACTGTAGGTTTGCCACTCGTCCTGCGTGATCATTTTTCTGACAGAATTTAGTTATGTTCGTGCCCAAATAGGTGTCAAGAGAATTATCTCTGTCAAGGAGTCCCCCTTGATTTCGCACTTTGGTGACACAATTTCTGGTATTGTCACGATTCGGGCTTTCTCTTGTCAGGAGCGCTTTCGCGAGGAAAATATTAAGAGGATTGATGATTTCACACAACCGTGAGTTCAGCTCCCTCGAGATCCTTAGGTTTATGTATTGACCGGTCTAGAAATGAGGTCAATTATAACCTGAATCGATGGATTGGAATCCGTACCAGTGTCTGTACTTCGATCATTGGTGCCGCTGCTGGAATTATAGCTCTTACGACAAAGGGCTCTTCCCCCGGTATGATTGGGTTTAGTATGTCAAATGCCTTAGCCTTTAGCTCTTCGATCCTTTTTGCTGTGAGGTATTTCAATTTACTCGAGGTGGAACTCAATTCCTTCGAACGTGTCAAGGAGTATATCGAAATGAAGCAGGAGCCTTCATCAAGGCCCGAAGCGGAGCCTCCCGCTGCATGGCCCACTCAGGGTGACCTCAAGGTTACCGAGCTCTCAGTAAAGTATTCTGAGGACGGCCCGGAAGTCTTGAATAAGATCAGCTTCGAAATCAAGCCGAGCGAAAGGGTGGGTATCGTTGGAAGGACCGGAGCCGGAAAGAGTAGTTTGGCTCTTAGTCTTTTACGTTTCACTGAAATATCCAATGGTAGCATAGTCATCAATGGATTGGATGTTCAGAAAATCAACCTCGAGGCTCTGCGACAGCGCGTTACAATCATTCCGCAGGACCCTGTCTTATTCTCTGGCACTATTCGGACTAATCTTGACCCTTTTGGTGGCCTGGATGATACGGAGCTTCAGGCCGCCCTTGATGGAAGTGGGTTGGCGGGTGACAAAATGGATGGAGTTGACAGCGGCATTGCATCCGCTGCCACTTCTGGTACTGCGACCCCAACAGAGGCGGAATCTAGTGCAGCGCCAAAAAACAAGAAAATTGGACTTGACACCCAGATTACGTCCGGTGGTGGAAACCTATCCCAAGGGCAGAGACAACTACTAGCATTCGCTAGAGCCCTCATTCGGAGGTCAAAGTTGGTAATATTTGATGAGGTAAGCAGCCACAGCACCTACGAGCCATTTCTTTTGGTCGGCTTCAAATAGTTTCCCGAAATCTCCTGCGAAATGTTAATGTTAAGAGTAGGCAACGAGCTCGACCGATTTGAAAACGTGAGACTCTTAATTGGAATGGTATTTCATCTTGGCTAACAGGTTTAACAAGAGACGAACGAATTCAAGAAACCATACGGACGAGTTTTCCCGATTCAACTTTAATAACAATCGCTCATAGGCTACGTAGGTTCCTCTCGTATTGAGCCATAATACTTGAAGTTTTTTGCCTTTTTCCTGTCATGCTAACCCCCTATCACACACAGGCACTGTGATGTCCTTTGACCGTATAATTGTATTAGACAATCTCGGAAATGGCGGGGAGATAGTGGAGTAAGTCCCGTTGGAATTCGTATTGTAAGAGTCTGTTTGCCGACTAATTTGTGAAGATTTGATATCCCACTCAATCTGCTGCAGAACCCAGAGGGCATGCTCTACAACCTAGCACGCAAGAGCGGGGAGTTTGATGAATTGCTGAAGTTAGCAAAGGACGGGGTTGAAGCCAGATAACCTGCTGGAGGTTCTATGCTTTTTTTCTTCTCCTTATAAGTTATAAGAAACCAGCTTCTGTTTAGTTTGCCATACTCGAGTAATAGATACCTTTTTTACGTTGCGCACTTTGGGGTTAGACTTTCGTGGCTAGAATACCGATATTACTCCGCTTTTGTGAATGTATTTTGTGGTTTCATTGTGATGGCAAGGGTGCGGTTACCGCTGGCCGATCACCGTCGTAGCGGAAAATCTTGTGAAATCCACTGTCTTGGTCAGCCCCCTGAGAAGGATGTGTTCCCCTGATATAGTAAAAGATCGGCCGGCTAGGTGTGTTAGATCTCGCTAACCGGTATTCGCAATTCTGTTAACCTGCCAAACTAAACCTATAGTGGGATGACGGGCGGCCGGGGGTTGTGAATTTCGCGGGATCAAGGTATCATACTTCCCCAGGAATCGTGTGAGAGACCATGGCAGCATAAAAGCAGCCCCATCCTACCAGCCACCCCTCCACCAACTTGCCCCTCCCACCTCAGCACAACAAATAAATCTCATTCCTCTGGAATTATTGCTTCGTTCTCACCACCATCGTCACTAAATATTTAGTTTAGATCGTCCCACAGAGTTCCATAGCTTCGCTCCGCCAATAACAGCAATGTCATCGACCGAAGGCAAGGTGAGAAATCAAAGTTTTGCGCAACAAGGGCTTGCCTCCAACAGTTGGGCTCGTCTAACCAATTATAGACCATTACCTGCAGAGCTGCTGTCGCGTGGGAGCCCGGAAAGCCGCTTTCTATCGAGGAAATCGAGGTCGCGCCCCCCAGGGGGCATGAGGTCAGAATCAAAATCCACTACACTGGAGTTTGTCACACCGGTAATGATTTACCTCACCGGATAATACAAGCTTCCGACAAGACTGAGACTATGTATTACAGATGCATACACTCTCTCCGGGAAAGACCCTGAGGGTGCCTTCCCCATTGTCCTTGGGCATGAGGGTGCCGGAATTGTGGAGTCGATCGGTGAGGGCGTTACCAATGTGAAGGTGGGAGATCACGTTGTTGCACTATATACCCCTGAATGCCGTGAATGCAAGTTCTGCAAGTCTGGAAAGGTAGTCTTTTGGCCTACCCCCCCCCCAACAAGATATTTAAACTAACGGGTGGGTGTGTAGACCAACCTGTGCGGCAAAATCCGCGCCACCCAAGGGAAGGGTGTTATGCCCGACGGAACATCTCGGTTCAGGGCCAAAGGCAAAGACCTCTTGCATTTCATGGGCACATCCACCTTCAGCCAGTATACCGTGGTCGCAGATATTTCAGTCGTTGCCATCACCTACGATGTATCCATGGAAAAAACCTGCCTCTTGGGCTGCGGTATTACAACTGGATACGGAGCTGCAGTCGTTACGGCAGGTGTCGAGAAGGACTCCACTGTAGCTGTTTTCGGCGCAGGCTGTGTCGGCCTCTCGGTAATCCAGGGTGCTGTGAAGTGCGGTGCCAACAAAATCATTGTCGTGGACGTCAATGACAAAAAGGAAGAATGGGGTAAGAAATTCGGCGCAACCCACTTTGTCAACCCATCCAAAATTGGCAACCAGACCATACAGGAAAGGCTTATTGAAATGACGGACGGTGGCCTGGACTACACATTTGATTGTACCGGAAATGTTCAAGTGATGAGAGCAGCCCTGGAGGCATGCCACAAGGGTTGGGGTCAGTCGATCGTGATCGGCGTCGCTGCCGCCGGCCAGGAAATTTCTACAAGGCGTTAGTCTCTCCTAAAGCCTCGGTGATACTACTATTGCTTAAGGCTTAACTGCTGGATTTACTTTTGCTGACCACATATATACACTTGTTTCCCACAACAGCATTCCAGCTAGTCACCGGGCGTGTCTGGAAGGGTTGCGCCTTCGGAGGAATTAAAGGTCGTACTCAGCTTCCCGACCTGGTTAGGGACTACACGGAAGGAAAACTGAAAGTGGACGAGTGTAAGTATGCAGACAACTCCCAACCCTATTGTATATTTCATAAAGGTTGCGAAAGGGAGCTCTTTTTTTTTTCAGAGCTCGATTGCGCCATAGCGTTAGCGCCCACAGGGAGCCATACATAAAGAATCAGATATACCCGTACTTGAATTCTCAAGTCCTGTGGCTTGCCAAGCGCTAATTAAACAGAGAGCTTTAAAAAAAAAAGAATTCGCAACCTTCAGGAAATCTACCGTACAACACAAGTGCACTTCTTAGGCGAAAAGAGTTGGGGGGTTATCGGAATTGGGAGAAATTTGACTGACTGGTCTCGTTTATGATATAACTCCTTGCAGTTATCACCCACCGTGAGCCTCTCGGTCAAATCAACAACGCATTCGACCAGATGAAGGCGGGTGACTGCATCAGGTGAGTAAACCCTTGTTATTAATCGTTCTCATGCAGTGCTAACCTGGGACTGGGTTCTAGATGTGTCGTCAACATGCAATAAAAAAGGGTTCAATTTGAGATATTGAATGGGGCTGCTTGATTTGCCGGTCTACCGCTCTTTTCTTCCTCTTTTTTTCCCGCCATGTGGCGGTGGTGGATATTCCCTCTTATCATAGTTTTACGCTCTGGGGTCTGGCCATTTCAAGCCCGATGTGGTCTCTCCACACTTTTCTTTGTCTCTCTTCTTTCCTTTTTTCCCCCCTACTTCCGTCCTTCCCCATACTACAGTACACGAGCGCCGGTCCGTACTTTTGCCATACCGATGCCGTATGACACGATCTTCCACACGGGAATTTGAGTTTTTTTTCTTTTTTCCCTTGTTGCCCTTCCATCCCATACTGTACTCGAGTACCTAGCACTTGGGTGCTCGGCCACGTACTGTACGACAAGTGAAAGACAAAATATTATACCATGCAAGAAAAAAGCGACGAAGGTTTCAATCTCTCCTGTGGAGGCGCAGTTTGTACTAGTACAGCAACTACCCGTCATGGGTTGGCCCCAGTACCGGCGTGATATTCGAGCCAGTTAAAAGTTAAAAATAAACAGTAAGCTGCGAGTACTGTATCCAGGGTTTTGCGCCGTATGCTACGAGTAGAGATCTGATTGTCACGTGCATGGCATCGGAAAGCGATCTAGGTGATGGCTGGCTGGTTGCGAGTGGCGAGTGCTTCATGCAAGCGGCATGCCCCAACGGACAGGAATTTCGTCTAATCGGATCGGAAAATCTGCACGATCCAACAACGATCAATCCGGGGGAGAGGCACAGTTCCCAGACGGGGAATATTAGTGGAATATTAGTGGTTGGGAACAATGCCGTAGGTATGTTCCGGTGCGGTACCCGTACCAGGTGCTCGAGTACAGGTATGATACTCGACTTTTCTCAAAGTCTCAAGGATGGGAAATAAACAAGTGCTTAACTCATGGTGTAATGGATGGAGAAAGAAAAGGAGAAGAAGAAGAAGAAGAGGGAGGTGACTGAATCAGTCCGATGCTTTAACTGGGTAGTCTACTTTGCTCGTTTCTTTCCCTCTTCCGCGTGGCTTTGGGTTGGCACAACGCTATAACTGCATTGCACTATCGAGCAGCTAGCGCAGGATACGGCACCATATCACAACGCATGGAAACAAGCTGCTGACCGACCAACGGTAGGGACATCTTCCGCAAGCAGCTGCTCCGAATGGTGTCGCCTAAATTGAGGCTGCCATGGTACTGGACGGGTACGACACTGTACGAGTACGGTAACTGCGAGATAATGCGATCATCCGGCGTGATGTTACACATCGTACTGTGTACTGTACCGCGCTTTGGGCCCACCAGGATAGTGAGAACAACCTGCCGGTGCCAGTGCTGTGAATACAAAGCCAAAGGCGATGATCACGGTGCCGGTACCCGTTATGCTATTGCATGCCGCCCACATCCAGGCGAAGGGGGGCAAACTTTGGTGGTATGCGATAGCAGTCCTTCTTAAAAATGCTTCGACACCGAGAGCATATACCGTGCACGGAGCAGCACACCGTCAAGTGCCCGGCTTGTGCGGTAATGCACCGATACGAGGGTCAATTCATACCCGGAAGGATGCTGCGGTTTCCATTACGTCGTGTCCACAGGGCGGCGGATATAATGTTATCTTGATACCGGTAGCCCCACTTGGTTTACCGGGCGGGTGAGAAGCTCTCGTGTGCCATAATAAAAATATGACATTATGGTGTCTGCCCGGGATCTCGTGGATTCCCGGCGCGGCTTGGATGAGGGTGGCGATGATGAGCAACGGGAAAGGTGACCGGCATCCTTTTTGCCTTTTCTCCCTCAGCTTGGCGAGGGTTTTGTTCCTGCTACCGTTACTGTGGGAGTGTTGTGCCGGATGCTGTAAATGGGGTACCGTGACAGGCATGATGGTTAGGGTACGAGTACCGGTACTCATGTATGATACGATACGCAGTTCCAACCTTATCACTAGCAGCGGGAACGGGGAACTGTGTACAGTACAAGTACCGGTATCAAGCCCAACGACCGCGAACCCTCCGAAACTCCCCACCCCGCCCCCACACACATACACTCCAACATCGGACCTAAAGCCACCCCTGGATGGGTGGCTTTTTGCCTTCTCCTTCTTTTGCTTTGCGTGAGAGAGTGTGTGTGGTAGTTGTAACATACCGGTAATACCGGTGACTGGAGACCAGAAGTGTTTGATGTGGTTCGAGAAAGAACAAGCCTTTTCGGAATGTGAAACCAGGGATCGGGCAAGACACCCAGCCCAGCCTACCGCCCGAAATGCGTGAGGCAGATCACACATACGCCCAATCACAGAGCGCCGCAACCCCCGGGGGTGCAGTAGCGAGTGAACGGCTGCCCATCCTCACATCCTTCATCCCCCATCCTCCTCCCCCTCGTCCACACGTTCCCGATGTCCATCATCATCCCCCTTCCGACGAAGACTGTCATAACGTTGTCCTCACCGCAACCCGTAGACTTATAGTATGGGCACAGTACAGCTACCGGTACCAGTAGTACCGTATTCGATAGGTTGAACTACAGTTAGAGTCGTGCTCTTGTTCCTACCATTGCGCACCTACCCTTCCCGTTAAGGTCGGAGGAGGGCTTTGCTGTTCCCCTCAGCGCGCTTTGGGCTGCTTAATGAGCCGAGGAATTTTGTCTTAGCTAGCGCTACCAGATATCTTTTAGTACTGTACCAAACACCTGCCTACCGATATCCCTACCTTGCCTACGGGGGAAGTACGGTGCTTGCACTGTACTGGTACCTGTACTTACGCCATAGTGCACGCTCTAACCCAACCACATGCACCTCTACTGCCACGCTGCCTAGGTACTTGCAGTACCTAGCTGCCTACATACAGGCACTCGAGTACATATCTGTGTATTTCTCCCCCCCCCCCTTCTGAAGCTGGCTCTGAACCGGTTGGGTAAGCTCAAGCCTTTCACACTCACGCACCCACACCGCGCACACATATCTTCGACGAGGAGAGCGGGCGACTACAGGTACGGCACATACGGGGGAAAACGATCGTACCCCCCAATTCTCGGACTCTACCCTGCCTTACCCCACCCTCTCTCCTGCCCCCCCCCCCCCTCTCAACCATTCATTGCTATTTGTTTGTTTTTTTAAGATTCCCTTTTTTGCCCTTTGCTTTCCCAAAACCATACCGTACCGATCCCACCACCCCTCCTGACCCCCGTTAACTGGCCAAACCAAGCTCACACTCCTGCGTTCCGGTCCGGTCTTGGTCTGTAGCCCAAGCCCTTTTTTTTTTTCACTGCACCGGATCATACATACTTTCATCATTTCCGCCCTTTTTCAATTTTTTTTTTTTGGTTGAGCTAAGTTTGTCACTGCTTCGCTGTGCCTGTTTGTCCTCATTGCATCCAACGAACCCTCGAGAAATTTATAACACCAAGCTTCCATCTGCCCGGTCTTGTTCATATTTTGACTACATTCTCTTTTTTTCTTCTTCCTTTTGTTCCCTCTTTTCTCCTCCCCTCCTCAGGCCATACACGCCTTTAGATCAATTGAACAGGAAGCCGGACGGTTCACTACATAAAGTTACATGAACACATCCGGGTCGTCTTCTGGTATTATTCTACCGACTAGTAACGGCCGTGGTTGTGGATTAAGTACGCTGGGTATCCCCCATTTCTTGTCCTTATAATATCTACCGTTATGAATTATAGAGAGCACGAGGAGCCGTTGCTGGGTTCCAAGATGAATCCTGGTTAGCTTTGCCTTTCCCTACCTACTCTAGTCTTTGTAGTGAGGGTTTGCGGTTGACATTGACTTTTTCGGTTAGGCACCACGGATGTCGGGCCGGAAGCCTTGAGGTTCCCGCAGGCTATTGCCCATAGAGGGTGAATACTTGGCTCCCCCACAGCAATTTTGTTGTCCGCACGATTGACTGACGGGAGAATTGGGGACAGGTTTAGAGCTCAGTTTCCGGAGAACACTTTGACAGCTTTTGAAGGAGCTGTGAAGGCTGGCGCTCATGCTATTGAGACCGGTCAGTTTACCTGGATCAAGCTACGGGAGGTATGATCACTAAGATTTGTGGTGAAAATTTAGATCTGCATTTGTCAAAAGATGGTGTGGTCATGATATCTCACGTATGTCTTGGTTCGAATCACGAGCAGAGATATATGGGCCCGGATTACTAACTCGGTTACTAAAGGATGCAACCCTGAAACGGTGTTTTGGCGTTGAGGGAAAACTCATTGACTGCGATTATTCATATCTTAAGGCTCTACGGACATTGGAGGCTCCACATGTTCCTATGCCGACACTGAAGGAAGTCCTCGAGTTTATGTGCCAACCAGCGGTTCTGGACTTGTGGCTATTGCTGGATATAAAGGTGGACAATGATGCCGAAGACATCATCAGAGAGACCGCTTCTGCAATCCATTCAGTGAATCCAAGCCGAGATTTCTGGGCGAACAGAATAGTCCTTGGATGCTGGACACTAAATTTTTTACAAGTATGTGGGCCTTCTGCCCACAACTGGGTTTGGTTTTGTTAGGATTGGTTTTGCTGACAATGTGTACCAGCTTTGTGACTATTACTTACCGGGGTTTCCAATCACTGTACGCTTGAAAACTCTAAATCGCTATTCTATAAGGCCTATTTGAGCCATTACTAACAGTTTTTTTTTGGCGCGAGGGCAGCACATTGGGTTTTCGATTCCTTATGCAAGGGAGTTTCTCAAACATCCGGGAGTTTCGTTCAATCTTTTCCATGCAGTCCTTTCCGGCAGGAAAGGCGCAAAGTTCATGAAAGATGCCCGAGCGGCAGGAAGGGAGATCTATGCGTGGACCGTGAACGACGAGCAAACCATGAGGTATACAACAAATCTCTCCACAGCCTTCTTCTCCAAGCTACTTTTGGCAGGAATACAGTTTGAGCTTACTTGCTGTGGGTCGGTTGATTAGATGGACGATTCGCAATGAAATCGATGGTATTCCCCCTTCTCCTCCACTGCTTTCTCCCTTGCCGTTTCGGGAGCACGACCTAACGATTAAATAGCGATCTGCACTGATGACCCTATCAAATTTCTTGGGTAATTTTTCTCTCCCCTGTTTCCCTTAATGTGATGTGACCGAGCTTTGTCGCTTACGAGATGTTTCTATGCGTTCAGCATCTGTGACGGATACCCAGGCGGTTGCTCTACAGGTTATCTGGCTCTTCAAAGAACTTGGCAGATTCCGATCATGCAGTTATTTGCTTGGTTTATATCCATCGGCTTCCGATGTCGTTACCGATTTAAGCCGAAAAACAAGAATGGGTCCTTTCCCTGAGCATACTTGTCAACAATTATTTTCCATAAAATGGGGGTATCATATTAGCGTTTGTGTTCTTTTCATTCCCGTACTTATATGATTCTATGCACATAGGCTTTTTGTTTTGGGAGGGAATTTTTGCAAGTCTCAGGTGTTTTGTTTGTGTGTTATTTTTTTTATGGATTTCTTCTTTATCTTCGGGCACGGGTTTTATATTGGGGTTTAGTGCAAGCACTAGCACACAAACCCATTGCGCAATACAGACGGGCAAGAGGAAATGGTGAAAGCTTAGAGCTATCTGGCTGTATAAAGGGGATTGAAAAAAAGTAAGAGGTATGATATCATGTCCACAACACCCAGCCGTAGTCTACCGGTATAAGGGCTGAAGTTACCGCTATTGGCACTAAAATAGAAGGCAAAGGAGAATTTACTTCAAGTTAGGTGAGACTTGTCTTGGACTTTTTTTTTTCTTTTTTTTCTTTTCTGCTGTGAAGTGTTGGTGGTTTATTTGTTTGCCTTCTTGCTTGCTTCCGACTAAGTTAAATAGTCTAATACCGTAGTACCGGAATAATATTATAATAATAATATTACAATATTATTATCCTTTAGCACCCGGTACCTCGCCAAGACGGGGGCGCTGTTTAAGTTCGGACGGAGTCTCGCACCCGAAACGACCGAGGGGGATTCTACACACAACCACCCAAAATTTACACTTCTCTACCCATGGTACTTCTATGAGCATTGTCTCTCGACTGAGAGAGCATCGAGTGGAGGAAAATGATTCCTCCATTTACTTATACGCACGGGTGCTGTACCGTACGGAAGGTTGGTCCCAAGTGTCCAGTACTGTACTCGTACCGTATGATACGGAATCATATTATCCTCGCTGTGGTGCCATATCTCAGTTTGGTTATGGTGTCACACCATACCCTTGTTAACTCAGTAAGTATCATAATTTACGGTAGTACTGGTGTCTAATTCTACCTATCATATCATACCAAAGCTTTTTTTTTTACCCACCCGATACCTACAAAGGAGGCGTAAATGGTTGGTCCTCTTTCACCATGGGGCAGGGCGGGGTGGGTGGGGGTTTTGCCTGCTACTGCTATAATACTATCATATACTCACGGCGCGCCGTATCCATCCAAGTCTACCCCGCCAACCCAATCTTGACCCCGCCAAACCAATTTCAATCCTCACCAACCTCAACCTCAACCTCAATCACAACTTCATCTTCAACTTTAACTCCCACCCCAATTCACCACCACCACCTCCCCTCCCCCCCAAAGGCAAGAGTGGAAAAAGGAAAAGGACGGGAAAAAAAGAAATGGCGCCAAAACCCATCATTGCTCCCTCAATCCTCGCCTCTGACTTCGGCAACCTCGCGCACGAGTGTTCCCGGATCATCAAATCGGAGGGTGCAGACTGGCTACACATCGACATAATGGATGGGCACTTTGTCCCGAACATCACCATCGGCGCGCCCGTGGTAACCTGCATCCGCCACAGCGTTGGCAAAAGCGAGGATTGGGCGAAAGGTGTTTTTGACTGCCATATGATGGTTGCTGAGGTACTCTCTATTTCCTCCCTCCCCACAAGCGGAGATGTGCTAATGGAGTGTGGCGCATAGCCGCAAAAATGGCTCCAGGACTTCAAAGATGCTGGGTGCGATCTTTACTGCTTCCACTACGAAGCGGCGGAGACGTCGAAGGATCCCAAGACCCCGTCCACCGAATTGATCAGGAATGTTCATGCGTTGGGGTTGAAGGCGGGCGTTGCGATTAAGCCTGGTACAGAGGTTGATGTTTTGTATCCGCTTTTGGACGGGAGTGGGGAGAAGCCTGATGTTCGTTTCCCCCCTATATGTCTATATGTCTATCATCCTTTGGACTAACCCGAGTTATACAGATGGTACTAGTAATGACGGTAGAACCGGGCTTCGGAGGACAAAAGTTCCGTCCCGAGTGCATGCCTAAGGTAGAGGCTCTCAGGAAGAAATATCCGGAGTTGGATATCGAGGTTGATGGCGGGTTGGGATTGGGAACTATTGACCAGGCAGCGGAAGCCGGCGCCAATGTGATTGTTGCGGGGACGGCAGTGTTTGGGGCGCAGAATCCTAAGGAGGTTATTGAGAAGCTCAGGGAGACAGTGCAGAGGAATTTGTCCAAGTGAAAAGAAAAGAGGAGGGTGTTGGAGTTTTCTATTATTTTATCCTTTCCCCTTTCTCCTTCCTTCCTTCCGCTTTCTTCACTTTTTGCAAAGATGTCTTCTTTTGGACGGGGTGCGCTCCCCCACACAGGTTGAGTTTAGATGCCAGCTGGTTGGCTTTTAGGAATGGCTTCTAAATTATTGATCGAACTTTTGAGGTGAATTATGGACTGTACAATAGAAGGTTGGGGAAATATATATAAAATAAAGGATGGCGCTAGGATGTAGAAAGGGGTGTGGCCGGGGGTTAGGCGTTTATCGCTTCCTGACCCTCGCCCATTTGTTCCTCTTCACCATCCCACCTTTACCCATCCTAGCCCTCTGTAACTCCAACTCTCGCTCAGCTTGTTTCAACTCGGCCTCCCGATGCTTGCGAGCCTCTAATTCCCGTTCCTTCCCTTCCCTCGCTCTCTGCAATTTCCTCTTCGCAAGTGCTTCCTCCTTTCTCCTTGCCTTCTCCGCCTCAATATCCCCAGCGCTCTTCCTCCTCTTCCTCAGCCCCTCCCCAGCAGCCTTCTTTTTAGCCTCAATATCCTCAACTTGCTCCTTCCTCATCCTATTAAACCTCCTCTCGACCATCTCCTTTGTAGTCCCAAAATAAACCTCGGGCCGAAACCCCCTCGCCTCTTCTTCTCCATCCACAAAGACCACATGCTTCCCTCCCCCTCCCGTGCCTGCATCCCCACCCTTATCCTTCAACACCAATCTCTCCCCCAACCTCTCAATCTTCTTCCTCTCCACGGCGCTTTGTAACCGCAAATACCCCGCATCCTGCGTCTTTAACAACTTTACCACATCATTGCTGAGCGGGCCCTCGTCCTGCCGCGGTGCGAGGTGGATTCCGCCGTCCCGTGTGCGGGCGTTGACCATTGCAAAGTAGAATTCATCGGGATTGCGCTGCGTGGCCTTCTGCCTGAGGGTCTTGAGTTTGGCCTTCTTAGTGTTGAAGTCGCGGGCGCGCAGGACGTAGTCTTTTTTCTTTTCAAGGAGGCCGTATTTTTGGCGGGAGGAGGGTTGGGAGCGTTCTTTGTGGTTTCGCCGCTGTGGATGATTAGCCAGTATAGGAGTGAGAAGGGAGGGGGAAGAGGAGGGGCTACCTGGACGGCGTTACGCATGGAAGACATTTTTGGAGGGACTTTTTCTTTCTTCCTATCTTTTCTGTGTTCTGTACCTTGTATGTATGGTAGTCCGGTGAATGGGGTGAGTTTAGTGGTAAAGCCCAAGGTTAGCCGTGGAAAAGTGCTGGGCAATGGGATAATTGAACTTGGAGTCAAGTAGGGTTACCCGGATTTGACATTTGTCAAATCTAATCTTATCGATTTCGACTTTCTGCAACCTGGCAACAGCCTTAATTTAATTAGAGCCTTCTCTAAGTATGATACTAACTACCGAATACAATGATGTCCACAGCCACCACCGCAATCCCGCAAGACCCCCGAAATAGAGACGCCCGGGTTGAGGACTACTTAAATGATAAATTCCAAACACTCGGCGATCTAGAAAGCCTTGATGAGATCCTGAATGCCGTTCAGACCCAACAATCACAGCTTCGCACACAGGTATGACTAGACTGGCCAGCCCCCCCCCCCACCCACCCAAAACATCTCTAACTAACTTACGGAATTCCAAAAGCTCCAATCCGCCGAAACCCGAGCTGAAAAAGCCCGGGCCGCCGCCTCCGAGCACTCCCACAACCTCCTGATCCAAGCGCAACTCTTCCAGCAGAACCAAGACGACATCGACCGCCGCCTGCAGGCAACTACATCCTCAGACACGGTCCAAGATGCCGCCGCAAAATTTGAGTCGAGTATGGAGAAACTCCATAGATTGGATGTAGCGGAAGGATACGTTTCTCTGATCCTCCACGTCCACCAACTATCCGATGAAGCGAGGGAGGGGATACAGAAGGATCCGAAGCTAGCGTTGGCGCCGTACAATAAGCTCCAGAGAGTATCGAAAGAGCTAAAGTCCCGGCACAGAGAGATGGAGGATGTAGCGGTGCATTTGGTAGGCTATGTTGAGAAGACTACAGGGCTGCTGTGGGATGAGATGAAGAACTGTCTTTCCGGGCAATTCGGAGAGGTTCTGAGCAAGATCAACTGGCCGACCGTGAGCGCGGACGTTAGTAACGCGCCGGGGTTCGGGAAGGCCTTTGAGAAGCTCCTTGTCCTGCAGGAGCCGGGGATTGAGACTGGACTCGAGGACAACCCGTTACTGCCCATGGAAGTGCTGGTGAAGCCGCTGGAGTTGAGGTTTAGGTATCATTTTGAGGGAGACCGTCAGACGAATAGGATTGACAAACCGGAGTGGTTCCTCGCGCATTTGTCCTCGCTGGTCACGACGTACACTCCGTTTTTACTATCCGCTATTCAGCCATTACTCACATCCTCGGCGAATCCGAAGATCGCGCAGCGGGATGCGGTTAACGAGTTTATCACCGCTTTGCTCCCCGTGCTCAGACGGAAGATACATCACTTACTCCCGCAGATACTTGACCAGGCGCAGTTGCTTAGTCACTTCATTCATGAGATGATCAAATTTGACACGGAGCTTCGGGAGGTGTTTGGATACATGCCGTATGGATGCACGGATGGGGAGTGGAAGGGCGTTACGCATGAGGTGTTAGTTGTCGAGGGTGGGTTTGTGGGGTGGATTAAAGTTGAGAAGGAATGTCAGTATCTGCACAGCTCACTTGTGAGGGTTGAGCTGATGGGGAATCTTATAGTTGCGCTGTCAAGATATCATAATATTCTAGACGCGGAAGACGCCTGGATTATTGACTACGAAAGTGTTGAGCCGAAGGAGACGAAACCTACGAGGTCGGCTATTCGGTTAAGAGATTTGTTGGAGACTGTTACAGGTACACTCCCTCTTTCTGGGTGCGATCCGAGGGTTTCTTCGTTGATTCTGAGTCCGGACAGAACGATACCGGCCTTTAACGTCGTTTACACAGCGACTTCGCTTCCTGATTGATATACAAATCTCTGTTCTAGATCAGTATCATGACCGACTTCGTTCCAGTGTCGAAGCTTTTAAGATGCTTTCTTCATCCATTGCTCGAGCTGTGCAGGGGACTAGCAAGGAAGAGGTACAATCTCTTACTGGAATTGGTGGCTTGGAGAGACTTTGTAAGGTTTATGGGAGTGCTATGTTCATGGAGAATTGTATGAGGGATTGGGGTGAAGACATCGTAAGTCTACAAATTTGTACTACATGGCATGCCCAGACTAATTAGTGACCAGTTCTTCCTAGAAATATGGGAAGAGCTACAGGAGCGCGCCAGGAAAGCGCAACAAAATAATGCTACTCAGAACCTGGCGGGAACTATGAATGTCCAGGAGGTTGCGAGCCTCACAAGCAGTGCCGTAACCTCCGGAGAGGAGGATGGTGCACTATTCGATGAGACTGCAGGCTCTTACAAAGCTCTCCGGACCACAACAGAAGACATGATCATCGATCTGTTAATTAGGAGCATCAAAGAAGAATTAAGAGGTTACTCTAAAATGTCAGCCCCACCTCATTCCTTGCCGCCCTTACCCTGCTAACCCCAGGCAAACAGAACACTCTGGTCGTCAATAACCTCCGACCCCTCAACCCCAAGCACTATATCCCCAGAAATGGTCCAGCCCGCAACCGCCACAAACACGTTCCTCTCTTTCCTCTTTAAAAGCGTTGCGCCAGCAGTCTTCAAGCGGATATACCGCAAGTTTGCTGCTGGGATCCAAAATTACCTCTGGGACAACATACTCATGCGTAATCAATTCTCACTTGCCGGTGGTAAGCAATTCACTACGGATGTTGGCGAGTTGTTGAATATTTCCGGGAGGTATATTGAAGACCCTGAGGGTTCGATGAAGAGAGTTCGGGCTGCTTGTCTGTTGCTCACGCTTGAGGATGGGCAGGAGGAGGTGAAGCTAGGATTGAAGGAGGTTGTACACAGGGTTTTTGAAGACAATGATAAGGCGAGGGGTATATTGGAGGAGCTGGGGCTGGTTGGGTGTGTTAATACTAGTGAGGTTAGGGGGGTGTTGCAGAGAAGAGTTGAGGCGTGGGCCTAGAAGGGGCTGCTACCCCCTTCAACCTTTCAGTGCACCAAGTTTCCGCAGCGGCCCAGGAGAGGGATTGCGAGGCGTTGAGTCCATAACTCTGACCGTTCGTCCGGGAAGGCTGCGCATAGTTTGACATCTAGTTTTACACCCTTGCAAAGTTTTAGTGATCAATAAATTATACATATTATTTGCGGTTACAAATAATATTCTGTAGAGACCCCAATAAATTGTCGCCCTATGCAAATGTCCGGCGCAAGGGTCCGGTCCATCCAGGGTTCCTTCGTGCGGAGAATTATCATAGCACACACGGAACCATATGGCCAGCGGCCCGCGCATTGTTTGCCCTGCACTGCCTACAGTAACTTAGATCACTGGGCAAGATTAGTGGGGCACTCCACAGAGCTCTCGTCGCTTAATGTTCCCCACCAAACACGTTCAAATCACCCAACAGCAAACCTCACTCCACTACCCCACCACGCAAACAGTTAACACTTATCCAACAGGATACCATACCCACAATCATGCCTTCCGACAATATTTACGCCATGGTCGATCCAGAAATATTCGCGGCAGTTCAGGAACAGATCGAGAAAGATAGTCAGGTTAAGGAAGTACTTACTCCCCACCACCGCCACCATCATCACCCCCTGGACAAGCAGAGTAGGCTCTGGGTAGTGCTAAAGTGTGTAGGATATCCGTGAGGCCTTGAAAACAATTGATAAAGAAGGTTTGCCCCCACAAGATGACTACAACATTTGACAGAGCTGAGCTAATACAGCAACCGATCTCAGTCCGACTAGTCACTTCCATCTTGTCAAGGGTTCACATCGTTCCCCCGGAGCACGGCAATTCCTCCACACCCCTCCCCGCCCCCTCTCCTACATCCGTATGCTAGCTACGCGCAATCACTAACGGGGGCAAAAGTTATCGAACTGACCACCACCGCCGACGAAGGCTTCAAGCGCCTCCGCGACTGCATTCAAGGCCTCGTTAACATCGTCAAGGATTACCCCTACTACAAGTACAATGGCATCTGGTCCAGGGATATACAGAACGTTGCATTCTTGGTGCTATTCCGGGGCTGGCTGCAGCGCAGCTACGCCCCTGGAAATGCGGAGAATAGCCTCTTGACGATCGAGGAAGTTGGGAGCGTTCTGGGGATTCCGGTGAATTCGAAGACGGAGGACAAGTTTCATCTAACTATCGAAGAGTATCTGCATGCTGTACTTGGTCTTGTTGAGGAACTGGTATCATTTCTTTCTTTTACTCTTCCCTTTCTCCTTGTAGTGGGGGGTTTTTAACTAATATGGGGACGAAGACTCGTCTTACTACCAATGCTGTTACTCAACATGACTTTTTGCGTCCACAGATGATTAACAGATTCATCAAGGATATTCACTCTTCATTCCAGGTCTTGAATTTGAAGAATGATTCGCTCAGGAGGAGGGGAGATGGGTTGAAGTATAATGTGAGTTTCCTTCAAAGTCGGCGCCTGTGGTAATGCTGATGAGTGGGGGTGCAGGTCAAGAAGGTTGAGGAGGTCAACTACGATCTTATCTTGAGGAACCTGATTCCTAGAGGTGTCGATGAGGAGGGAACCGAGAAAATGGAGGATGTCAAGGAGGATGCCAAGGGACCATCGGAACGGCTGGGGTAGCGTCGTGGTAGTATTGATTTTTATATCAATAAACCCCTTTGCACAGAATCAGAGCTATCACGATAGAACAGACCCCCCCCCCCCCAAAAAAAAAAAAAAACAAGTACACCTGTCTGGGCAGAAAGTGCTTTAGAGGTGATATGTGGTAAACTATCGTATGAAAGTGGGAGTGTAAGTCGGCCCCAGTCTATAATAATCAAGATTCTTTGTAAAAAGATGCATCCTGGGTATTGGGTGGAAGGCACCATATCGACGTTTCTCAAATCTAGGTAAGATACTCACAAATCCTCCGAGATCACGGGGAAAACCCGATGGGAGTGCCACACCATATCCCTAGTAAATGGAAGTGTGTGGCTCCCTCCTAGTAGCCATCGCGGTGTATAAACTCGTTCTCTCCACTCGGGGAACGGTGAAAGGAAATATGTTGCCAGAGGGAGCACGGTACATGCACAACAAATAACAGGGTATCATACACAAAGCATCGCAAAATCACGAGTGATACTTAATGATCCATACCGTTACGAGCATGACACGTTCCTGCACAACCATGCATTACCCTGATTACTTCATACTTTAGATGCCTTAACCCTGAGCTGTGAATCCAGCTATATCGAGGCATGATAAATCCCTCACCATCGCACCGTGCCGTACAGTATTCAGAGTCGAGCCAAAAAAAACCAAGAGCCTTCCGACAGCGGAGTTTTACCAATTTTTCTAAAAAAAAAAAAACTCCGAATTACCGTACCATACCCCCACGCTCACGGTTTCCGTTTGTGCCCGTCAGCCGCGCCCTGTTTAGGGGTTAACCCAGGGCACCTCCTGAGTCCTGACTAGTGACCACGGTGTCCCCCCCTGTCTCCGTCAGTCACCGCAACCCACGTCTAGGAGAACGCAACCTTGATCCCACAGCGTTACGACGGAACCCTATCCTATAGTAATTCATTACTAAGAAGAAGAAGAAGAAGAAGAAGGTAACCCCGTCATTCGAATGGGGAGTTCTGCGAGGTGTCTGTGGATAGCGGTTTCGCTGGTGTTCTTTTTTGCGCTCGTTTCGACGACTGAGAGGAATGTTTTGGAACTTACGAGTCGGGAGGTTGAGGGATTGCTGCAGGTATGTTTTCTGAAAGATGGGTACTGGCATGGAGAGGAGAGGAGGCTGCTAATGCGTATTATGATAGGAATGCCCGCTTGTGCAAAAATTGAATCACGAGCGCCTCGCGAATAGTCCCGAGACGTCGAGTCTCATGAAGAGGGCCTTCGCGATATTGTTTCCTGCGGGGCCCGCTGTGAATAGTTTGTTGGCTACGGCGTATATTTCTGGACCTCCCAGTGAGTTCCTTACTTACCTGGTATGAGAGAAGAGAAGGGAGGCTTGCTGATGGGATTGAAATGGGGGGGGGGTAGATTTTCTGCTGGCACTCGTTCCTACAAACATCGATCCCTCCAGCCTCTCCGTCATGGTAGCGTTTGCCGTCGGGGGTTTACTGGGAGACACACTGCTACACCTGATCCCGCAGACCTTTATGGGAGAGCCGCATGGGGACGAGGTCAACTTTGTCATGCTCGATCCAAAGCGGAACGCACTGCTGGGATTGTTCATTTTCATTGGGTTCGTCTCGTTCGTTGCTATGGACAAGACTATGCGCATCTTGGGTGGTGGGGACGGGCACTCTCACTCTCACTCGCACCCCCACCCTCATTCTGAGGATACGAGCGCTAGTTCCAGCACCGACATTGGGGACAAACTCAGCGACGTAAAGAACCGCAAGGGCAAGAAGTCCCCCACCCCCACCGACGGGATGAAAGATGGCCCCGCGAAGAAACCCGAGCCAAGCAACTCCATTAAGCTCTCCTCATACCTCAACCTCATCGCCGACTTCTCCCACAACATCACCGATGGCCTTGCCATGTCCGCTGCCTTCTATGCTGGTCCCATGGTCGGTGCGACCACCACCGTCGCAGTCTTCTTCCACGAGATCCCGCACGAGGTTGGCGACTTTGCCCTCCTTGTTCAATCCGGCTTCACAAAGTGGCAGGCTATGGGCGCGCAGTTCTTCACTGCTGTCGGCGCCTTCTTGGGCACGTTCATTGGCATCGCTATCCAGACATATTCCGCCTCCGGGGCTACGGTGGAGGTTTCCGGTGGTGAGGGGCCCGATGCGGGGCTTTGGGGTACTGGGCTGACAGCTGGTGATCTGGTGCTCCCGTTCACGGCCGGTACCTTCCTGTATGTGGGTTTCAGCGTGATCCCCGAGTTGCTGGAGACCGGGAAGAATAAGGGGGAGGAGGTTAGAAAGTCGATTACCCAAGCGTAAGCTCCCCTTAGGTAAAAAAAAAAAAAAACATGTTTGTGGGATGTGCCACTGATCAGTGGGGCAGTATTGCGATGGCTTTGGGTTTTGGGATCATGTTTGCGTGAGTTCTCCAGATTTGACATTTCCTGAGGAATGATTTTTCGGTGCTAACTAGCTCTCATAGCATCTCTTGGGCCGAAGGTTAATTTTCTCAACATCTCATTCCTTCGTACAAATTCCTAGGATCTACAGAGTAATAGAACACCACAAGTAGAGCTTTCAGAGTAATGTTTATTTCTCTTTAAAAAAAAAAGAGCGAGCAATCCAAAAAGAAGAGGGAAACAAAAAGAAACCCAAGTGATATCCCGGTACCGTACCTCATGATATATAACCCAACCAACGTCCCTGGCCTCATAAACCTTGGGAAAATTTATGGTATTTCGATTCACACCAAAAAAAAACAAAAAACAATAAAAACAATAAAACACAAAACTCCCATTTAATAACAGAAACGAGAAGCCTTCCTCCGATTGTCATACATTCTATCATCATTCCTCACCCCCGAGTGCCCTCCCATTAAGCATACCATCCGTCCTCCTCCTCTGTCGACGAAAGTACCCAGAAAGCGTACCAAATAGGCCATAAACCCACCCACCACCAACCAGTATTCCGCTGACAATGTTGACCAATCTAATACCCCCGCACTCCGCATCAGCCCTGCCCCGCACGGTCAAATGGAGGGGGGCAAGTATTAAAAAGACAAACCTAACAAGAAAAGCCAACAGGGCCGTCCTCCGATCACTGATGGTGACCGAGATGGGCTCGATATCGTACTTGAAGAAAATCCCGGGCACGAAATGCGACGAGATTTTGCGGGACTGCTCGGTAACGGCGTACTGGTTCGTCTCGAGCGATTTCCCGGAGGTTTGGGATTCGTAGACTGTTGGGACTATGGAGAGGAAGTATTGATATTTGTAGAAGTCTGGGAGGGGGATTACTGTTAGCAAGGGAGGAGGAGGAGGAGGAGGAGAGTGAGATACTTTCGTCGGTTTTGGAGACGATTCCGTCGAGTGGGTTCACCAGTTTCGGGTAATAGTCACCGAATGATAGTTCGGTGATCACGTGTGAGAAGTTGAACGCTTTTTTTTTTTAACCGACCATCGCCATTCACATAAGCCCGAGAAGAGTTCACGACCGGAGGTAGTGACTAGAAGAAAGAAGGAAGGAAGAAGAGGGAAGAAGAAGGAGAAGAAGAAGAACTCACACTGATGATCAACATGCACCCCATCCTCCCAATACCCATGCCCCTTAGCGGTAATGTGGAAATCACCCTGAACCCGATTGACCCCCATACTCCCATAGATCCTACAACTCCCCCCACCCTCCCCCGCGCCCATCCCGACCAAGGATGAGAACAGGCCTCCCCTTCTCGACCCACCCTTGAAGCCCCCCTTCTTCCCCCCCTTCCTGAGGACCTCGTAGACGTGCTCCTCCTCCCTCCCCCCCCCCGGCCCCGGAGTAGAGGCTGTGGGCGCCGGCGTCGTCGAACCGCACATCCTCCTGCGACAGCAATTGCCCCGCCAGTATCCGGTCCTGCACCGCGTCCTCCACGTTCACGTGCAGGCTCGAGCACGGCATGGCCACCGTCATGTCGAGGTTTATCTGCATGTCGTGTCCGATGCCCGGCTCCACCAGGAAGGTGTGCGACTCGCTGCCCGTCAGGTAGTTTCGCAGCTCCGTGATGGCTAGGTAGGCGCTCGTCAGCAGGAGGAGGAGGGTGATTGCCCCGCCGCGGGGGGTTCGGGTGGTGTATGTTGATCGGGTTTTTGCTGCGGCGGAGTGGGTTAGTGCGGTGCATGCGAGTGAGTTGTGGGTAACGTACGGAAGGCATCGAAGGTGCGCACGCTCTCGCCGAGAGAGGTGCGCTTTTCGCCAAAGAATTCTTCGTTCATCGTTGCATCAGTGGGGTTTGTCGTGGTGGTTGGTCGGTTGTTGTTGTCGGAATTGTGGGGGGAAAAGTTTGGGGCTTTCTTTTTTGGAAGTGTGAAGAGGACAGGTTGCCAGTGAGGCGGGTAAAGCACACCCCCTTGCATATTTTTGTTTGCCCACAGTGGAATAAGGCTGTGACACAAAGTTACTTTTTTGCAACATTGGACGGGTCAATTATATCTCCAGAGGCCAATTATTCTATCTGTGGTATGATAACTATAGCAATACATTCTTTTGATACAGAAATTATAATTATTGAATGGGAAGGGGGGGGAAAGTTCCCTTCGTTGCTTACCTTACCTATTCAACTAACAGTTTTCTTCTTTCTTCCTTGCAGTTCAGAGCATTAAGCTTGCTTGTTTGCTCATAACCTACAGGTGTGAAAGAAAAGGGAGAGAAAAGGTTACAAAGGCAAACGCCCCCCCGGGCACGCCCAGCCCAAGCTTTTCCCAACCATATATCCGATATATGCCCCAGTGACGATTGTAACGGGCCACTTCTGCCATTCACGATCCCTATAAACCCAAGTCAGCCAGACTATCATCCCCCCTGAACTCTTCCCTCCCAAAAATATAAAACCAAACTCACCAATCTAATCCCACAATTAGCCCACACTCTCTCTCTCAAAAAAAAAAAAACAATCCCCAAAGGCCAACGAGAGAGAGAGAACATACCTAAAGGAATCGGTACAGCCCCTACCCACGCACCAACCAACACACCGACAGCACCAGCAAAGCACTCCTCGACGATGGCCCTCCCTCCCAAAACCTCTCTCCAGATCCTGCCTTCGAGGCGATACTTATGCACCAACGGCGCGACCGCCAGCAGCGCCATATGCATCGCGCACAGCACTGTGGGGATCAAATGCGTCGTCGCCGGGGCGCCGAAGAGTACGAGCAGCACGTAGAGTGCTGCCGTGCCGAATGTTGTTGCGAAGAGGGTCGCTAAGAGTGATGACTTGTAAAATCAGCCACAGATATCCATCATATATATGCCATACATGTGGCCGTGGGGCGGGGTACGATACAATTATCTTGCTACTAACGCCCACAACCTTCTTCTTCCCGGCCCCCGACAAGGGGGTAGGCTTCAGCGTACGGAGGCAGCGGACTTGATAGATTGCTTGCAAGAGCGCTAGCCCCGGGAGCGTCCACAGGAGTGTGCTCGCCGGGTCAGAGACTAGGTTCGGGAAGGCAGTGACGAAGGTGCTCGCCAGGATGGCGGTGTGGATATGTGGCTCCGTCGCGCGCATTGCGTAAGTGCTGCTAGTGGTGGCAGCTGTGCGGCGGGGGTGGGTTGCTGCGGTTGGCATTTGTTTCCGGTATGTTCGTTGTTGAGGTGATAGCGGTAGTGAGTTGGTGGTGGTGGTGGTGAATTGTACGGTATGATGCCAGTGCTCGTACGGTACTTGTTCGGAGAGCACTTAGGGGATGGATGGTCGTGTAATTCTAGATCACGTGCACACACACACAACCCATCACTCGAAAGCAGGCACCATTCATAACCTCATCCCATATGTACAATGGAAGAAAAGAAAAGAAAATGCAGCAACTAAAGATAAATTAAGCTTCCTTCTTCTTCCCTTCATTCCCGCCGTTCCAAATATCATATCATAACAAACTGCTCGGTGCCAAGGACGGGAAAGTACGAGCACAACTTTGATCCAACCAGCCCCTAGCAGTGCACACCTTTCTCCCGCCCAGGCAGCACAGAATCCCCCCCCATCCAATGATTCACATCCTCCCCGGAAGGCAGCGCCGTACCGTATCAGTCTAGGGTTCCTCTCGGCCATACTGTACGTGCCCGTACCCCACCATGGACAAAAGTGCTCGTAACTTATCGGACAGACAGATAAAACAGACGAAGTCTAGCCCACCCACGTAGCGCAAGCTTCTGCCCAGTAAGCTACGGTAGCTAGCTCACTACCCTACAACAGTACCACATCATATCATACGGTAGTACCGCTAACTCACAACAACTCACTCACCGTATTCCCCACCCTATCGCGCAATCACCATCTCCGATTATTCCGCTTCACAGCGCACACTCCAACACAGCGGAGCACGAGCAGAACCCCCTCCCACAATCACGGGAGCACAAGTAAACACCCGACATCCCAAAAATAGACACTGCGCACGCGGATTCATCCAGATTCCCTCCTTCCAGGAAAACTGCTGTAGACTGTTTCCCCTATCCTTCCATTCATTCCCTGTGCTGCGGTGTGGATGCGGTGGAGCGGACGGGCGATCATGGGGCGGAAGGAGGTGTGGGGATCGACGACATGCTGAGAATCATTGATCAGTAATCATCGGATTGGACGGGCAAGGACGGAAGCCAATTCGTGGCTCGCTACAGTGATATCCGTGCAGAAGGGGGATTCCAGATTACCGGTAACCCGTACCGGTCCATCGATTGGGCCGGCTGCCTGAATTGGGGGAGTGCTTCCGTTGGGGACTCAAACGATCACAAAAATACTGATAGAGGGTTTCATCAAGCTATGCGAGTTAATGTTATTATCACTTTCAAATTGCATCCCAAAGCATGGAGGGGAAAAAATCCACCACCCCGAACCTATGATATGGTTAAAACAAACACCGTAAAGGAGAGCTTTTATGTGCAGAAAAAAAAAGACATTACAACAATAAGGGATGCCCAACCCAAAAAAAAAAAAAATACGTACTAGAGGGGGGGCATACATAATAAGGGATAGCAATGTAAAAGAGTACAAATGAGTAACCGCAATGCAAAACAATCTGCTGCAAGGGTGGCCGATAATCCACCCTTCCGTCTAAACTCAATTATTCCGGACGCACATCCACCCATGCCCGGCTCCAGATGGTAGTCATTCCATCTCCGCGAAAGAATGCAAGGAAATCCGTGCGAAATATGAAAGGAGAAAAAAAAAAAAAGATTTGTCATGAGCCGTTACAATCGAAAGATAGCCATGCCCGTTTTTATCGCATCAACCCCTTATAGCATGAAGAAGCCCAATGCAGCAATAACAGCTACAATCACACTATCCCCTCCGCTAACCCTCAATCCAACGTTCTGAAGCCCACCACCGCTTGTAGTGATTGCTGGAGTCGCCTCTGGCGTGACAACGGATTCATCACTGGACGTAGCGACAACAACAGCGGTGTCTGTGATGGTGCTCACACCATCCGGACCAGTGACGGTCCTGGTGAGTTTTGAGGTGAGGGAAGTAGTTCTCCTGGCGGCAGCAGATGCAGGGTTTGAATCGCTGTTAGAATTGGTAGTTGTCGGCCCACGCGTTGTCGGACTGGCCGATGAAGGCGGAGTGGTGACAGCAGTTGTCGGGGTTGTGCGAGGTGTAGTAGCGGTGTCACGACTAGTAGTAGTAGTATTCGATTGCCGTTTCGCCAGCTTGACTAGACGGGTGGCATCAGCAGCCCGTTCGCGGTGGATGACATCAAGGGCAGGTCGGTCGCCGGGGAACACACCATGCTTGAACTTGGACCCGCCATAGTCGTGGAGGGCTGCATGGAGTCTATCCTCCGGGACGTCCCTCAGGAGGTCTTGGAACTGCTGCTCATTGTCCGCAAGGATGGTGGGACTGAAGAGCAACAGAACGAAGAGCAACGAACTCAGGAGGGAAATCGAACGACGGGACATTGTCTCGTGAGGGACAGACAAAGTGGAGAGGGGGAAATAAAATGGAGAAGGATCGCAACAATTGAGGAAATTGGCAGGGGGGAGGAGGGGGAGGAAAGATTTGTCTGTCTTTCCCTTGATAAACCTTGAGTGCTTGCGAGAAGTCCGTTCAAACACTGAATGGAGAAATCGAGAGGAGGTTGGGTGTGGGGCCCTATTGACTTTTATGTTAGCAGGGAGCAAGAGAGCAGTCAGCCAAAGAAGGAGGCTGAAAGAGGGGACGGGAAGGAAGCCAATGAAAGACGTGGGAGCTAGGAAAATAGAGGGCCTAGCAGCCAAGAACCGACTACCAAGAGAGCATCCAACCGGCCAGCAATCACAACGGCAGCCAGACAAAGGCGGACACAGACAAGAAGGATGCAAGCAACGTGTGGGAGGGAGAAAAAAAAAAAAAAAAAAAAGAGGAGCTTGAAGCAAATGCAAAAGTTTCAGATGAGGGTTGGTCTGGCAATGCTTCGTCCCTGCAACAGGGAAGGGCTATTGTATTCGGGACAGCCTATGATACAGTTCGACATGTAACAATTGTACAGCCCAGCCACAAGGATCAGAAAGGTAATAAGGGAATTCGGGTACAGCGAATATATGAAATAGGAAGGGAAAGCAAAAAGTGCAAAACCGGAATATCGATGAGGGGTGAAGAAGGGAAGAAAAAAAGGAAAAAAAAGCGGAAACCCTTCGAGATCACAGTTTAGACACTTGCCTTTTGAGATCACCGAGCCTAAAGAGGGATGTTTCCTTTTACTTGTCTTCTCACGAAACGCGTGTTAGGGGTTCGGAAAGAGGGCGCTTGCTCCGGGAGAGTGATTCGTAGCGATTGACTGGGGCTCAGAGACAGAGGCAGAACGAATGAGGGGAACAAAGATGGTTCGATGGTGGGAGGGTTGGAAGGTGGATTAGGGGGGAGCGAAGGGGAAGGGAGAGAGGGTGAAGGCGAGGACGTAGGAGGTAGGACTACAGGTAGATGCTGTGACGACTGCAGGCCTATAAGTACGGGCGAATGAGACTGGCCAAAGAGCAGGAGAGTTGCTATTTTGGCTTTCGGGCTGTGCCCACGGCTTCGTCTATGCTTTCTTCTGATTCGTCACCCTTTACCCAGCGAGGAGGAGGAAAAAGAAAAAGGAGAAAAAGAAAGCAAAAAAGGAGGGACGACGAACAATGAAAATACCGGTACCGGTAATACCGTACCGTACTTGTACCTGTGATGAATAAAAAGATAAAAAAAATAAAAATGCAGACACTGGACACAGCACAGAGAGGCACCCACCTGGACGAAAAGGACTCCACAACTGTGGCAGCCAATCGAATCCGTGACCAACTCCCGGAAGACCTCAACTCCACTCGACCCAGTTGTCCAACCGGTCCCGCGAAGCCGGCCAATCGTCGCAACGGGATCCCGAAACGGGTCAAGAGGTACAAAGCACGATTTCTTCAGGAACTATAATAGAGACACGTTCACGGAATTCGATTCGTGTCCGTCTCGGGAGGGCCAACCATGCAATCTGATGGATAGAAACACACACACAAGCGTTCACCTATATTGTACAAGTAACATGCACACGAAATGGGGAACCGGTGTCGGCCCATCCCATCCCAAAAGAATGGCTCCCCCCCGCGCAGCCCTTTTGCCTTTCCCTATCTCACCTCTGATGGTGCTGGCCGGATTCTGTTCGCCTGCTTGCATCAGCCCTGCGAAAGCATGGCGAGCAAGCTGCAACCAGCCAGCCCCTTGGCAATATCGACTTTCCGCCCGTCCGCCCATGCAGAAGAGGAAAAAGGGAGAAGGAAAGACGCACCCAAATCGCCAAGTGCTCACCGCCGGCCAAACCAAATCACCACACCCGGAAGAATGTTCTGGCGGGGACTCCGGGCATTGGACCTTCCTTCCAAGTCGAAACCCGGCACAACACGTACTGTACCGTACTGTACCCCACAGGGTATCAAGCACTTGTACTCGTACTCGGCCAATCCACGCTGATTTTCGGTAAAAAGGAAAGAGGTCTGTCGAACCCTCGCCCATCAGTAATGGCCAGAGAGAGAACCCCGTTCCCTGAGCGGCCGAGAGGCCACCGTCCTAGCATTGGCATGACACAGTATCCTCGATACCCTGCACAGTACGAGTACTGGTACAATACTCGTAAAAGTGTTGCCAGTCATCCATACTCGGAGTCAATATCCCTACCGTCCTTGGCGGATATCAGGAGGAGCGTAACGGCTACCGGGACAGTACGAGTACTGAGTGCTTGCATAGCCACATTTCTGTGCCCAAGTGCTCGCGCCTTGCGCGTCGCCGTCCTCGAGTGCCGTGCCCCAACGTGCGCAACCCGAACAGAGCAGCCCATTGGCCAGCAACCGAGAGGAGGTTGCTCACGGTATCACTCGAGTCTAATAAACATCGTATAAATAAATAAATAAATACTCGAGTACTGTACGAGTAGACAAATCCCGGCCCACTCCCAGGATTATTGTGATACAATTCCACGAATTGCATAATTCCCCCCCCCACCCCCCCCAAGCCCCCATGCAACGCTGCATCGCGAAATAAATAAAAATAAAGGAAAAAGAAAAAAAAAACAACACAACCACCCCACCCCTGTTCACTATGGTACTCGTGTGTTCATCACGAGAGAACCCGCACAAATGCATTTTCGTTACACAAAAACTCGCTACATGATCCAAGCCGCCCCACCAGAGTGATACGAGACCAAGGAAATGTCGTACATAGCGAACAAGTACTCGAGTACTCATACACGCCCAGGATACGAGTATCAAAAGGCGCCCGCCATACCCTTACTCTCACCACGGTGGTACCAGGGAGAGATTCAAAGCTCTTGGTACACGGAAGGTACAGGTGTTTCGGTAGAGGTGTATTCTTCGGAAAATACAGTGCACAGCAAACCTCCTCAGGAGGAGGGATGCAGCATACCAGCACAGAGGTACGGTCATTTTATTCAAGCGGTGCACCTGTATTTGCGGGGTACTCGTACATTGTGCACTCGCCCAAGCACTGTGATACCCTCTGCACTAGTACTAGTACGGTACCGGTACTTGTACTCGAGAGTGATAATGATGCCGATATCATTCCAGCCACCGTGCCCCCGCACACCCTTACCGATCCATTGATCAATTGATGTATCAGATTCGCCAACGACCGATACCGGTACCCACCGTTCCGTACCCCGCCTTATCATACCGGTATCATACCGTACCGTACTTACAGTTATTGTACAGTACTCGCAGAATACCGGCCGGTAGCATCATACGGTAGGTGGGGCCCGGGACGTTATCATGACCGGTATGGGAGGTTTTTTTGTTTTTCTGTGAGAGAGATTCGTTGTTAGCGAGCTGGTGTATGTGTCAACCTTATCCCATCCTACTACTCAAGTACATACAAGTGCAGTAGTACCGTACTGTACTTGTACTTACAGTACCAACTGTGATAGATAGTTATCAGTGTGTGTGTGGGCCCCCCCACGCCAATACCGAGACCATATCATACTCATAACGTAGTACGCATTACGGAGTACGTTTGGGGTTCTCCCCGCCAAGGAGAAGGGGTGGTTGTCCAGTGGGCTTTTCGAGTTCTGCTCAAGAGGTTTGCATAATTAGGGAGTGAAGTAAGGCATGATTAGGATACTGTACGGTACTTGTGGAAAGCGAAGCGGGATAAATTCTTGGAAGAGTGGGAAAGGGGGCGATGTTTCGCTAGCTGAATTTACTCGTAGGAACCGTGAGGGTTACCGTACGGTGCAGTAGCCTTGTGAAGCTAGCTGGCCATGTTCCGAATTTTTTTCTTTTCTTTTCCGTCTTGCACTAATTAAGTTGACTGATCTTTTAGCGCACACGATAAAAAAAGAAAGAATTCCACTTGTATGATTGTCGTTCATACCTGGCTAACTACAAGTAACTAACCCATGTCGTTTCTCTAGCAGCGGAATACGGTATGCACTACATGTACTGTACGAGTACTGTACGAGTACGGAGCAAGAACCTCGCTAATACCGGTACGGTACTCGAGTAAACCGTACTGCTGCAGAATCACTCGTACCGTACAGTTCTCGTACTATATCATACTCGTAATGGCTGGTGGCTTTTGGTGGCATGATACTGTATCGTGTGTATCATACCTGTAGGGTGGGGCTATGATAAATACCGCATGATGATCCGTGAACGGGTTTAACATGACACCAGCATGCAGGTTCGTCACAAATGCTCACTCGACTCGGCATGTCTAGCTCGTGTATAAGACCCACGGGTGCTTTCGCCTATGATGGATGGATGGATGGAACTATGATACTTCGAGTATTGCCGGGATGCGATGGACGGCCACGTATTGTGAGGAGTATATCGTTAACCACCTCAACCTTGACCGACCGACCGACCGAATTGTACTCTAGTGCACGAGAGCATAGTGGACTTCCCGTACCTCACTCACCGTGCTAGTAACTTTCTAGGTTCCATGCTATCGTATCGTATGATACCTTTTCCGCAGGGGTTTTTATTTTCGTTACTCCCTTCTCCTGTCATGCTACCCGTATGGAGTCACTGATACCGACGTTAGAGTTCGTCTACGGGTATAACATCCACGAAATCATGGCGGGCTCTCTCTACCCACGGGTGCTGATTGATTGATATGAATATATATCTTCCAAAACCGGGGGTCAATTCCTTATCCTATCCCAGACCCGGTCGATCAATTTCTCCATCCAGGAAAGGGCGACGAGTGACCTCTGCTGGCCGGGAACGAAACACCTCGCCGAATTGACCACGAGTTGCTGCTGTGTTGTACAAGTACGATACTCCAGTAACTTTTGTCGACGAGTACTGGTAGATCTAGATCTCCACTGTCTAAAAATAACAAAAATGCAAAAATACAAAAAAAAAACTTCCGAATACTGTTACTGGTACAGGTCCCGAGAAAGAGGTATCCGAAGAGAGGGACTCGCGAAATGAAGGGCAAAAAGATCTGTGCCTATCTGGGCGCCTGGGAACGAGTACAGGTAGGTTTGCCAATGCGGTACCCCCCACCGCATGAACGAACCACTGTACGTACCGCTCGGTCCGGAGAATTCAATTTCTTTTCTTGTCGGGTCGACGCACACGTCCCCACTTGGTTTCTCTCACGGGATTAATTAATTGCCGTGATTGAGAGGGCTGGGTGCACGCTGCCAGAGCGTATGGATGGGGTCATGGGATTGCACTCGAGATTGGGGGGAGGAGGCGGCGGGAAATTTGAGGTTTGGATTAATATTAAATTTGGTGCGACATGATATTGCGGGTTATTGTTGGAAATTGGGGACTAATATCTACTGAGGGGGGTACTTGTATATTGTGGACCCGTGATACAGGGGAAGCCGGTGTCTGACTACGGTCTCTGCGAACGTGAAAGGGGGGGGTGCTCATCACCCGTGCCGTCTACCGGAATCGTCTATCATCTCATCGAACTTATCGACGTGTCCAGTCCACCATCATGGATCGGATCACACCTCCTCCGCCTTGGCCTTCTCCTTCACTGCCTCCCCAGGGAACAAAAGCCAACCCACCGCGACTCCAACTTTAATCGCCCCACCAACAAACAACGACCCCGCAAGTCCGGCAGGACTCTTTGATATCCAACCTCCGCAGATTCCTGAGTTCCCCATTAGCCTTCAACAACCCTCCGACACCTTACGATTAGGAACAACTCACCACCAAGTAGCATGAAAAGAATACTCCCAAACCTCCTATTCCTCTTGATATTTCCACCCCTGAGCACCAACGGGTCTGTGACAAGATCCGTATACACGCTGGTCAAAACGGTAGTGGGAATTTCGCCTATGCCCAATAACCTCGAAGTAGCGATCTGTGCTCCAAACTGCATCGCCAGGAAGGCTAGTGGTAGCAATTCCCAAAAATCCACCCTGCCATCGACCTTCTGCGCCTGCGGTTTCGACCCCGGTATCGCGCCGCCCTGGACTAACCCCGCGGCCAGGAAGACAGCAGCTCCCTGCAGGACGAAGGATGTGAAGAGCGTGCCTCTGCTCAACGCGCTATACTTCTCCCGCCTGACGCCCTTGGCGGCAGCGGTAGTAGTAGGAGGGGGATTGTTCAGCGTGGAGAGGCGATACGTTAATATCGCACCGAGAATGAAGAAGCTAATCGCTATCAGCGACTTTAGCCATCCGTAGGGTTTGCTAACGGGTTGGTTGGAAGCGCCGAGTGAGAGGAAGATGGTGTTTCCGGTTTGCATCGCGGCGAAGACGGTCCATGCATTGTACACGCTCGAGTCTATGATGCCGGAGACGAATGTGCAGAGGAGCAGCGGGAGATCGGCGTGCTGGGCTGAGATCCGGGTTAATAGGTAGCTTTGCACTCCACCGCTACCGCTGCTGCCCTCTATCGGTGCTTCATCCATGGCGTCGGGTTTTGCGTGCGGATTCATTGTGGTGTTGTCGCTGGTGTAGCCGGATTGACCTTGTCCTGCTGGTGCTGAAGCCATTGTTTAAGTTTCTCACTCACTTTGGGTCTTGGGCTTTGCTTCGCTGTCGCACTGCTATATCGTATCTTGGGCAATGGACATAATGTGTCAGATCATGGATGGGGGGACCCCAACCACTATATATCGTACTGCTATGATACTAACAAAAAAAGAAGAAGCAAGCAACCATTCCAAACAGGAACTGCTCTAGCCCGCCAAAGCAAGCGCTTCCATCAAGGAGAGAAGAAAAAAGAGGCAATCGCATCATGCTAGCAAGGGGCTCACGACGGTTTGGAGGTGGAAGGGTGGAAATAGAGAATTTAGTAGAAAATAAAATGAAATAGGGGATGTGTCAGGGGGTTTGCCTCGGTTACTTGTAACCCGTCTCCTGGGAGTGCACAGGAGTAAGGTTTACTCTGGCAGAGGTCAGGAGGAGTTGAAAACTAGGAGGGAATACGGTAACGGTGGTCGTTCGAATAATTGAACCTGGCACGCCAAGAGGTTGGGTTAGGGTGTGAAGACCGGAGAAAAGTGGGCCGTAGACTATGCTTTGGGCCTCATCCTGCGTAGTGGGGGCAACAAAAACGTAGAACGGAAAAAGACAATTGTGAATTTCTTGTCTCCATGCCTCCGTTCTGGATATCTATCTACCTATCTATCTCCTGGAACTTTGTGAGTCTGCGAAAAATGCTGGTGAACCGCACAAGTAACTTTTCTTAAAATGATACAGTAGTTAACAAGGAAGCTGGATACCAATATGTTCAATGAGCTATGAGGTGTAGATGGTTATAAGGGTATATAGAAGAAAGAAATTTAAATAAAATGTCTTGTTATAAGCCCTCCCCCCCGCGCCTCTTAACTATCTGAGCCATCTACAAGTATCGATATATCTGTCTACCTTGAAGCAATTGTAAAGTGGTATTGTATGGTATCAAAAGACCAAAAACCCGTGGGCGATGGAAGGGTTTTGGGGAAAAGTGGGGGTTGGCGAATATGAATACTACTAGTATACTTGATGATGCTGGAGGGAATTGTACTATCGTTGAAAAGCGGGAGCGTCAAAGTGAATGGGTTAGTTTAGACCACTATTAACGATAATAATAGCTCCGATGGACAAAGGTATACATTGCGGTCGGGAGTTTGCAGATACTTTCTTTCATTCGTATCACTTTGATGTGATTAATTACTCTGTCGGATGAAAGAAGAAGAAGAGAGACCAATATATGGTATCATATCACAGTATCTGGGAGCTATGATGCTGTAATTCTTCCATCACATACTGCGGACACTTGTTAGAATACTGATAATGACGATACGGTAATAAGAAGAAGATACATGTGACCATGCTTGAAGATGGTTTAGCTACTACTATTATACTCTTTATTCAAAAAGGTATGTAACATAATATCACAGTAGTATCACGCTCTTGCACAAAGATATAAGATAATATGTGAGAGAGACTCTATGTAGCTGACTGCTCGCATTCTCTCTTGGTAACTTGCAGCATCCGTAAATGGTTTCTTAATGGCATACAGTAGTATTCGTGAGTCTATCCCGCATCGACGTCTCCCCGCTGGTCGGCACATGATAGCTAACCTATTATACTATTCAATTGTCTACGGGTACGATACCCCCCGCTGTAACTTACTTGTGCGGTACCGTACGGCACCGGCCGGCGCCGCAAGGAAGATTGCTATATATGAACTTCTCCACGGGGCACGCCCGCTAGCTTAAATTAATGGTTTGGACGTTACAGTGTGATGTTATCCACCCATTGTGCCGTTAGTGGCAAATGGTAGAGGGTCTACTGACATCTGTTAACTGTTTCCGTATCTGGAGTTTGAACGGTGGCGCTCCTAGTGCGGCACCTATTCGGCTCAGGTTTGCTTCAAACAATTCTTGGGTGAGGGAGGGAGTGCTTATCCGCCCAGCTATGATACCAGCGCCATAAACTTTTTCGTGCCTAGAACTGTGTTAATCTCCGTGATAGAGTTCCATCAAGTTTGGCATACGAAGGGGAGCGGCGATAGTTTTGGACTCAAACCGAAGACATCTAGAGAGGGAGGGAGGTAATAGAAACCCTGATCATCCCTTGAATCCCTTCCTATATTTATTATTATTATTATTATTATTATTTTCTCTTGGTGGATATATATCCACTCATTGCCTTCCATCATAGAATGGGAAAAATGTATACCTTCCAGTGGGATAAGTATTTATTCCCAAGTTATCCTTTCATGAAACACCTAGCTGGCGTAGTGGTTAAGATGTCGCAGTACACATTAACTCCTATCGCACTTAGCAGGAGCCCAGGAGTTCAATTCACGCTCGCATTGAGTTATTGTTGGACGCTCCATCATGTAGGGTAGGAGGGTTTAGACCCCTGGCCTATGGGAACTGGGAGTTTGGTGAGCTCCGCCTTGGTCAATAAGGCTGTAGGGCTTTCCACTGCTGCTGTGAGGTGGCAGAATCCGACTCTAGACCCACACCCAAGGGCCCCGGGTGATGGGTTGGCGATCGGCGGCGCGGCAGTTCTTTTTTACTTGTAAACCTATTTCTTTCTGGAATGTCAGGTATGGATAGGAGTATATAGTAGCTAGTTGAAGACATAAAACCAGCTGATTACCGGAGTACTGGTAGATGGGGGAGATCTTGGGCACCCGCTGGTATCTGTTTGAAGGACTTTTTTTTTAAAACAAAAAAGTAAGGCAGGCTTTATTATAATTTACCGCTCCGCCGAGCGGAGGGGAGGGGAGGGGGGGGAGAATGAATGAAAGATATTTCGTTCCTGATTAAAACGCTTTGGACTCTCCCCACAGGGCATTATACTGTCGCTGAAAGGTATATGTCGAATCAGCAAGCATCATGCTGAAACCCAGGTCACTCAATTGTGGTCACCGATCAGTTGCACATACGGTCACTCGCAGTATTGCGTTCAGCGTTGCTCACTTATTGTTTCTATACCCACCCGCAGGGGCCTCCCTATATAAAAAAAAGCCACACAAATTTACCTGAGGATGGAAGCCACTAATCTGTCAACAGCCCCGACTAGAGAATGCGATCTCGGGTTGCGATCAGTTTGTTCCACGGGCATTGAAAACCGTGATTCTAGCTAACAAAGGTGAAAGATATCACAGTATAACAGGCTCTAGAGAGCGCCCTAATTCGGCATGATCTGCAAGGGAGAAACGGTACAAGGAACCGCACACCTGCTAGACAATGTATCCTACCAGCCCCAGCAAATATTCCTGGGATTTACAGTGCTCTCGACAATATTATAGCATTTGTTGGTCGGGGACGTATGATATTATACATATATATGACAGCCCCCACATCCAATAACGCAGCTCGCAAAAGTGTAGGGGAAAAAAAGATGCAGAGAAGATAGATGGAAATCCTTGCATCGTTCACGATAACTCGAACGGAACAGAACAGAACAGAGCAGAGGAGAGCAGGGGCTGGTGGAAAAAGGGAAGTATCATGGGATGAAACTGATTGGTGATGTGATGCATTGTAACTTGTTGGTATCGTAGAGAGTTGAAGAGTTACGGGTACGAGTACCGGGTGGGAGGAAAGAAAGAAAGAAAGAAATGCCCGCAAGTAGTTTATTACTCCCCCACCCCCACCCTTCCAATGTGTGTCCATAACTACTGGATTCGGAGAGGATGGGATAGGCTTTTTCTTGATTGCGGCGATTGTTAAGATGGACATTTAGGCAGCGTGTAGGATACTCTGCACACGACGGACTGGGTCTGGAGAAGGTGGAGTGGGCTTCTTCATTCGCCGGCGGAACCATTTTATTCTATTGCGTATTATATGGGAGTGAAGGATTTTCCTTTTTTTTTTTCGGGTAGGTTCCAGGGATGGGTGGTTGGAGGGGGGGGTCTCTCATCCCGTGTATAGGTAGCTTGGTATCATATGCTGGGAGAGTGGAATAAGGTTTAATCCTTCTATCCTCGAATCACACGCTCATTATGATACAACATCGCCTCCACCCTGGAGGTGCTTGGCGCTTCCATCGGCTGCGGATGTGACTTAACGGCAATTTGGAAATCGGGATGCGAGCGGTAAGAGTTGTGGGACCGGCATGTCTTCCAGGTTGTGAGATGGTCATACCGGTCTCACTGTCGATAGTGTCATGATCCCCCAAGGTGCTCTGCGTCTTCGTGGTCGGACGAGTGATTTCCAGAAGGGATTGCCTGGTTGGGTATGATATCGCTCTCGTTGAGTCCGCGTATGGTTGATTCTGGGAGGGTTTGCTCCGGTCCCTCCTTCCTGTCTGGCGTCTATATCGAGTTGGTTTGGGACGGTACATAGAGCACTCAATTCCGATCTTATAAATCTGCATAAAGTATGGATTGGTTCATTCAACTCGAATAAACTCAACTTCTCAAAGTGCCGTACATGCCCGGGGTTCCTCCAGCCCTGAAAACCAACCAAACCTAAACTTATACGAATCCGAGTGATAAACTATGCATGGTATCATGACCTAATGCCCCTCCACCCCCATCAACTCCTGCAACGACCCCCCTCCCTAAATCTCCCACACCATACCAATCACTGATCTCCCTCTCCTATGATACCCCTCAAAAATAAAACAAAAATCCGAACCTTCACCTCACAAAACAGCCTCCCACGAGTGATATCGCATGATCAAATAAACGAAAAACATCAATAACGACCTTGCCCCGCAGACCTGAACAAACACCACACATCCGCACCGACACGATACGGAAAGGAAGCAAATCCAAAGAACCAGCAGAAGTTTTGAATATTTACACTCTGACACCCAAACTGCCCTTCTGACCCGGCAAGGATATGAGGTAATGTGGACATAGGATGAGATTGGGTGAGATCGGATCGGACCAAATGAGGAATACCCTCTCCGCCACTCTCCCCCTACCACACATCCGCGCAACGAAAGAGGCACTCTTCTTTGTGCCTCCTAACCGGGAGCACTTCGAAGTTTCGTTCGAACGAGAGAACCTGGTCCCTGAGAGTGGGAAAAGGGCATCAAAAGTATCAAAGGGGGTAAAACGTCCTCCCGCAATCGACGAAGAGGAAAGAAGACTAATTAAATGAGCAAAAATAAGGGCGAATAGAATGATAGAGAGAAAGAGAGAGAGAGAGAGAGAGAGAGGAAAGCCATTGGCCAGCGGATCTCCATGCCGCCTCCACACTAGTCAGCGCTTGCAGGGGCCAAAAAATCAGACATGGTTGGAAGAGGAGGCAAGATGGAAGTGCATGGAGGCGGTAATCAATCAATGGTCATTCTTTCCACAGCCCTGCCCATCCGCTTCTTCTCCAGCTCCACCCCATCCTGCACCCCGCCGTTGTTTCCATTCCTATTCACTTCTTCCCTCCTTCTCATTCCTTCACAGTAAGTATCTGCAAAGTCGTCCACCGTTTGACCTCTACTTCGCTCCCCGCTACGTTCCTTCCCCAAAACCTCATCCTGTGCGACGCCCCTGTAGACATCTGCTATCCCCGAGAATACGGCACGGGAGAAACCGGCTTCTGCATGGGTATCTGCTATCTCCTCCATTTCCCTGACAAAGCGGTATGCTCTGGGGGGCACGGCGGGCACAGAACTTTCCAGAAAGGTAAGTAGCGGAGGGTAGAAGATTGCTAATTCCTCCTTCAAAGCTGGTAAGAGTGATAGGTTCGATGCTGTGGTGAAGGATTGAACGGCAAGGCCGGTCAAGCCCTAAAAGCACCGCATAAGCTCCAACCCTAAAGACCAGGCTTACACTCCTAAAATGGAAATAAGCCGAGAGTGGGGGTTATACTTTTGTCAGAGAAGCAAAGCACATCTTTAACCCGCTAGCCTGCCCAACTCTATCACCAACCCACCTCAGGCCTAGCACCTCCTCCAGCAGATGCCCACCGTCCCCAACGAGTTTTTCTTTCCCACTGACCACGACCCTCGGCTTCCTCCACGCGCCCCCTACTCCCCCGGGGCCCTGCACGAACTCCGGTGCCCCTCCTAGTATGGCCCCATCGATGAACCGGACAACACCGTTTGCACCCGCAGTGGGCCTCGAAAACACATTCTCCACCTTCTCCGCTAGGTTGGGCGAAACAGCGTTGAGGTCAAAGTAATAGAGGGGTAACTTGTTCCCGCGCGCAGCATATGTGTATGCGTAGCCAACCCTGCGGGCCGTGGGGAGGGCTTCGCTGGGCGGAACAATGGATAGGATGTAGTCGGCTTGGTTGATCAGGTCGACATCCGACGAGACAAATTCGATTTTTGAAGCAATGGCCCGGTTGTACGTATATGAGCTAGAGGATAAGGAATCTCTTAAAAAATGAAAACCGATCTCTTGCTAAGGGCACTGAAAGGGAAAATGAAAAGAGGGGTTATTGCAGAGGGGAAGGTGAGGGGTATATGCGTGATCAGGTATGGCCCAGTTCTGTCCTTATTTACTCTGGGGTTCGTTTGTCCCTGATAGTGGGTCTGTTTCTTTTCTTTTCTTTTCTTTTCTTTTTTTTGATATGTGACGGGGCGGGGAAGAGGAGGTGGGGTCAAGGATTGAGGGCTGGACGAGTGGGAAAGAGTCGAAGCTTACCTGCGCCCGGAGATGCTGGTTATTACTCGGAACTGATGGGCTCTGAGCAAACAGGCAATGCTAGACCCCATCTCACCTGGCGAGAGAATTGCGACAGTCGTTCCGGCCATTCTCACTATCACCTTCTTGCTCTCCCTTTGTCAGAGTAAGTAGGGGGAACTGACTGAACGGGAGGCTCTGATGTTTGGTGAGGGACTATCGCGGGGTATACAGCGGCTCCCCTCTTTTCGGGGGGGGGGGAGGTTTGAAAAAATATCCTTCTTAAGAGAATCTATTAACGGCTGGAAAAGGGGTGCAGTAGGTGATGGTTCCGGTGGTAACGGTACTGTAGATTCGTCGAGATGCTTGGGAGGGGGGGGGGGGGCAATGGAGGTCCGAAGAAATAGTTATTGGATGGTGGCGGTGGTGGTGGTGGGTTGTGGTGGGGTAGTTGTGCTGTGATAAGCTATCACCGGTAACCTTTTTACAAGAACAGAGCTGGGGCGGGGGGGTAGGGACGAAGAGCAAAGGGAAATAGAAAGGGGGAGGGGGGGGAGAGAAGGCAA